TGATGAGGCGCTTCACAAGGCTGGTTAAAGAATAAAGTGTGTTGAGTCTCCCACCAAAATTTTCAACCTGTTCCAGTTTGCCTACTGATAAAACCACTCCACTGAAGCCGCCACCTCCTCTGCTCTTCACCCCAGCCTAGCACATCTGGAGGAGAAAAACACCCTTATGTGGATGCTGTTCCTGGACTTCAGTTCAGCTTTCAACACCATCATCCCACAGCATGTGATAGGAAAACTGGAACAGCTGGGCTTCACTATATCCCCCTGCAATTGGCTCTTAGACTTTCTCACAAACAGACCTCAGCCAGTTCGGATAGAACACCTCTGATGTCATCACCCTAAGCACAGGCTCCCCTCAGGACTGCGTCCTGCTCTTCACTCTTATGAAACACGACTGTGCCCCCAGATTCACCACCTATTACAATCGTGCAGACAATTTGCAAACGACATTACGGTGGTGGGGCTCTTCAAACATGACAATGACCCGGACTACAGAGAGGAGGTGCAGCAGCTGGTGGACTGGTGCAGAGACAACAACCTGAATCTGAAGGTGGAAAAGACGAAGGAGATCATCTTGGACTTCAGGAAGAACCGGCCTAACCACGCTCCACTGGTCATCAACAGCTCAGCTGTGGAGGTGGTCAGCAGCACCAAATTCCTGAGGGTGCACATCCCAGACCTCACCTGGGCTAACACCACCTCATTGGTCAAAAGGGCACAAAAGCGCATTTCTTTCCTGTGGACAATGACGAGAACCCACCTGCCCCACCCATACTCATCACCTTCTAAAGAAGCACCATAGAGAGCATTCTGACCAGCTGTCTCAATGTGTGCTGTGGAGGCTGCAGCGCCTCAGACTGGAAGAAAGTGAGAAGAGTGGTGAGAACAGCGGAGAGGATCATCGAGGCTCCTCTTCCCTCCATAAAAGACATCTCATCCCAGCGCTGCGTTTCCCGAGCCCGTAACGCTCTGAGCCTCCATATAAATGCATTTCTTTGCGCCACATTTTTTCTCCCACACTGTTTACATTTGATCACTGCTGCACTTTATAGAATGGAAATGTTCATCTACTGTCTGAAAAGCTTTACTAAACAAAATTTTGTTCTGTGTACACTCTGTGTATAATTTCAATTCAATTCAGTTTATTTATATAGCGCCAATTCACAACACAAGTCATCTCAAGGCACTTTACAGTTCAACCAGATCATACAGTCAAATTGATTCAAAGTTTTCTGTCTGAGGAAAACCAGTTGATTGCATTGACTCATTGACTCAAATGCAATCCCTCACACTAAGCATGCTTGTAGCGACAGTGGAGAGGAAAAAACTCCCTTTTAACAGGAAGAAACCTCCAGCAGTACCAGGCTCAGTGTGAGCAGCCATCTGCTGAGGCCGACTTGGGTTCAAGGAGACAGAAGCAGAGATACAAAAAGCAGCTGTAAAAGGTGGCCCCATCCAGGAAACACACAGCCAGGCCGACGAGCACTGAGTCAGCTCCCATTTTAAAGAATGAAGAGAGCACATCCAGCCAGTCACGGTATACAAAATGACAATCAAAGTTGTAAGTGATTTTTTATTACCAATAATACTAAATAAGAAAAAATATTACAAATATTAACTTATATGAGCTGCACGGTGTGTGTCTCTCTGCAGGGAGTTTGCATGCATGGGTTTTCTGCGGGAACGTCAGCTTCGTCACTCCAGAAACATGAGTTTTAGGTTAATTTGCTTCGCTAAATTGTCCTTGAGATTAATGGTGTGTGTGCGTGTAGTTGTGTGTCCTATGTTGCCCTGTGACAGACTGGCAGCCTGTCAAGGGTCTACCGCCTTTCTCCCAGAGACTGCCAGAGAGCTCCGGCCCCACCAAGACCCTAACAGAGTAAATGGGAGAAGACGGATGGACAAGTTTCAGTTTATTACTTTTCCAATAGGGTACGAGGTTGTCCCCAAAGATACAACTCTAAACTTATGAGGTACAATCTATTGGGGGTACAGATGGTTAGCCACTGTTGAGGGTATAGGGGTTTTTTCCACCCCAGTGACAAGCCTTTGTATTGCCTCTGAGTTTTTCAGATTGAAGTCTTGAATCTGATTTAAAACCTGGGGAAAGTATGAGATTCTCAAAGACACTCTCCGTCAATCTCAATCTAAGGATGTGCAAGGCTGGATAAACAAAAATTCTAATTGAGGCAAATTGAGGGTGAATGTATACTCCTTATTTTAGCTTCCACTGACAACAGAAGTAAGCTACGCACTGTTTTGTGTTTGGCTATCTCTACATCCTAATAAAGCCTGGTTGGAATGTAACTTATGAGATGTTCATAAGGTTTATTATTTCTGCAAACAACGGTATGGTAAAGGAAATTTCAGCGTACCTGAAATGAAATCTCTGTCTAGATTTGCATGAAGACTTACCCTGAAGGTTCATGTGTAGTCCAATGACTAACCAGGTTTGGCAGAATTACTAAACAGGAATATTCACAAGAGACACTGCTGGCCGTGCGTCGAATATAACCAGACACAATGTTGAAATTACATGTAGTGTCCATTGGGTGTAGGATTTTGGAGCTAGGGGGGATTTCCCAGCATAAGTGATAAAATAATGATCAAATTAAAGCTTATATGCCAACTAATAGTCTCACTACACAATACAATAACAGGAGATCAGCAACATTTAGCACACCCATTAGCACTTACTGGGCCTAAAGCTATTAAAAACCAGTTTAAGTCTACAAAGCTACGTATGCTGTGAGTGGAGGATTTTTTACTGGCCAAGACAATTATTGTGAAACCCAGACATTAATCACTTTCTAATAAGAAACTCACTTGTTATAAACTTCAAGGAAATTCCCACTTAGAGATAGTTTGATGAATAAGAACCAAAGAGGGTTCAAAACATTATAACTGTGATTTTTTTTTCTCATTAAGTTATATAACACCTACCTGGATAACAGTGTCCTAATGCAATTATTGAAACAGAAGTTAATTGGAGTTTTGGTAGGGAGGGTATTTGTTAAGAGTTGCCTTTTATTTGCAATATGTAATATTACATTTTGGTATGTTTTATTTAATTTGAGGGGTTTTGAAGTGGAAGTTATAAGCCTGTGGTGCTTCATTACTGAATACTTTAAGCTAAATTGTGTAGTGTGCCATTTGAATGTAGACATCAGAGTTCTCTGTGCTTGTGTTTTACCCACTGACCTGTATATCTGCAAGTTCTGCTGCAATCCTGGAAGACAGTGAAGACTTCTCCAGACAGGGGAGCTGCAAAATCTAAGACACACAAGTTTAAATGATGTTAAATCACATGTTAATGGAAGAATATGAACAAACTTTAAGAGTTTTTTGTTTTTGTTTTTCAATGTAAACAGAACTTCCAGCTACATATGAAGTGATTATTTCTCATAGTTGATAGTAAATCGAAATTTTAATGATAAGATTTAAGGACATGCAATCCCTGTCCAAAATTATAAGAATTGAAATAAGGTATCTTTTTTTTTCTTTGTAGTTGAGTTTCAATCTCAGAACTACAGAATAAGGGCCACTCAAACAATAAAAGAAAGTTAACTGATTGTTAAATTTTATTTCAGTCTAATATGGGAAAAACGTCTAAAATTTGTCTTTAATCTCAGAATTATGACTTTTTTTGCCCTAATCATAATCCTCTTCCGTACACATCTCTTCCTTCATGGTCAGAATTCTGAGATTAAAGTCAGAATTCTGGCTTTTTCCCATATCATACTAAGAGAATATCTAAAAATCAGTTAACTTTTTTTTTTCTTCAAAGGCCATAATCCTAATCCTCTTCTGTACACATTTCTTCCTTCATGGTCAGAATTCTGAGATTAAAGTCTGATTTCTGAGATTAAAGTCAGAATACTGACTTTTCCCCATATTATACTGAAATAAAATTTTAAAAATCATTTAACTTTTTTTATTTTTGTAGTGGTCCTAATCCTATTCTTCCTCCGTACACATCTCTTCCATCGTGGTCAGAATTCTGAGAATAAAGTCAGAATTCTAACATTAAAGTCAGAATTCTGATATTTCCTGAAAGAAAATTTTAAAATCAGTTAACTTTTTTTCATTTTTTCAGTGGCTCTAATCCTCTTCCGTACAGGTTTTCTCTAAAAAAAAAAAAAAAGCATGTTGAAAAGCTGAAACAAAAGCTGACACAAACTCTTTAAAAAAATCTATTCTAAATACACTGGGGAATAATATTGAGCAGCTAAAAACTGTTGTTCTGTAATTACTAAATATTCCCTAAAACTAATAGTCAGAAGTGCAAGAAGCTGAAATCACAGATTTCATTTTCGGTTCAGCTGATCCAGCAGGGTTCCCCTACTACTTAAAAACACATATCATGTGCTAACTTTGAGGGGCTTAAGGGCTTACCTTTTTTCTCCAGTTGGCCATTTATTTTGTGCAAAAAGTCTCTCTCAGGGTCTCCCTTACCTTTCCTTGGTACATAATGTTTCCTACGGGGCAGATCCTGCAGGCAGTGCCTGAGCCAAACATTTCTTTGAGACGCTGCTGCTTCAGAGCCGAGCACAGCTGCTTCATTGTCAGGTATCTCTCTAACACCTTGAACTCATCCTTCAAAGTAGAGAAAAAGCAATTCAGGAGATGGGAATGCTGACTTTAGGGGTTTCGCAATGAGCATTAATATTAGAAAGGATTGTTGGTGGTAAACATATTGTCAAATTCAGTTTTAAAATGGATGCTTTTTCTCATTAAAATGCTCTAATGAAAAAAAGGTCATTTAAATCGTACCCATTTTTTTGTCAGTTCAAGGATGCTCTGCCGAGTGACGCCTGGAAGGATGATGCCATCTAGAGGTGGAGTTGCAAGTTCCTCCTCTGATTGCAAATGTTGGATTATTTTAGAGAAACTAAAATGCTAAAGAATATGGAGTAAATCTCCACTAACCTCCATCCTCATTGATCCAGTGCAGAAAGATGTTCATGGTTCCTGCTTCAGTTATCTGGTGGTCCTCCCCGTACAGCCATAGCACCTGCTCACAGCCATGACTTCCTGCCTCATATTGTGCAAACAGAGTCCCTCCATAATTCCTGCAGAAAATCCAAATCAATTATTATAGTTAAACTTAGACTTTTCATGACAAAGAGAATAAATTATATTTGAACCAACCCTCCCATTTTGCAGTCTCCAGTTCCTCCTTTCCAGGCCCGTGTGTACTTTGGGTCAGCCCACAGAGACAGGGCCTTCCCCTCAGTGTTAAAGTATGAGCCAGCTTGACACAAAATGACATAAAGCAAGGCACGGGTCGGCTTCTTAACTCCCAGGGAAGGCTGCCATGTCGACAGAAACATGCAGAAATAAGCTATTTAGATCACAGAGAAAATTTACAGTTTGAAGGAGCCTGCTGACCTCAGTGCCGATAAGTGTTGGCCTTATATACAGACTGGAGGACTCGGAACATGGAACCCAGTCCTGGTCGATTTCTACAAGCCTCCTGATGCACTCCAGCAACTCGGACTCATCAAAGGCCTTTTTGTACAAAAGTAAACAGAACAACAGCACCATTCATATATCTGAATTTCCCATTATTTGAAGTTTAAATAAATATTTTTATTGAGCCTTTTTCTTTCTTTTGTGCATCTTACGGGAAGACAAGCTCTGTTCGCTGACTTTGCCATACGGCTCATATTCATCAGGGGTCTGAAGAGACGAAGGCGGTTGTCATCGCCTCGGTACACCATCAAGCCTTCAAACAGCTCCCAGGAAGAAAGAGAATGTTGAACATTGTTTTAAAAAACTATCCAGTCTTAATAGATTATGAAAAAAGAAAAATGTTTTCTTCGTTGTCAAAATGCTTGCAGTACTGTTCAAAAGAATTCAGACCCCTCTTTCACATTACATATACATGTAGATGTTAAGAAGCTGACCTCTTTGGCTGTTCTTTACAAAGAATGGATAAGGATGGTCATCAAGGGAAGACAATGTAAATTTTTAAATGTTTTAAAAGATACTTCACTATATTTAGGTCTTGACTTTGACTAGGCCATTCCAAAAGCAATATTTGTTGATCTAAACAGGGGTCTGCAGCTTTTAAAATCTTAGAGAGCAATTTTATCCAGTCCAGCTGATCACAAGTCATTTCGAGGCACAACTATTTTATAGAATTTAAAAAAAAAAACATAGCTTATAATTATTTTAAATATCTGATATAGTTAATATCTTGCCATTTTAAACAATAAATGGCTCATTTGTATTTCTTGAATAAGGAAAAACAGAAAACATTTAATAAAGATGAAGATGACAAGAAAAACGTTTCCTATTAATGTCAATGTTTAACGTTCTGTTGTGAAAATGTAATCAACTATTCTTAAAGAAAAAAAAAGCTCCTAAGACTGGTATTTGTTTATATAATACATTATCTGCCTCCTTATATCATTTTATGTCACTTTTGAGAGCCAGTTAAAAGATACGAAGAGCCACTTGTAGCTCTGGAGCTGTAGGTTGCAGACCCCTGATCTAAAGTTCTCCAGTTTATATGTAGCTTTGTTGTTATTTCGAAAGAGGAACTCTTCCCCAGTTTCTAACATGGCCGACTTCATAAAAATGTTAAACCATTTAAGGAGTGTGAATACTTTTGCAAGTCTGTTTACCTGAATGCCATAATGTAGTGATGAGCAGGCTGGGTGCAGTGAAAGGTTCCCAAAGGGTCTAATGAGGGGAGTCTGCCAGCCCTCAATGGCGTTCCACTCTACAGTCAACATGTGGTCAGTGAAGACCGTCCCAAAGTCGACAACATCTGGTTTCATTTTTGGAGTGGAAGAGAGCTGGATGATGAGGTCTGCTGCCTGATAAGACAGGAAAGAAGAACAGATAAAAAGTTTCTGTCTACTTGAATGCTGGTCGGCCTCGGCAGATGGCTGCTAGAGGTTTCTTCCTGTTAAAAGGGAGTTTTTCCTCTCTACTGTCGCTTCAAGCATGCTTAGTGTAAGGGATTGCCTTCGAGTCAAAGAGTCGATGCAATCAACTGGCTTTCCTTAGATAGAAAAATTTAATAAAATTTGACTGGATGATCTGGTTAAATTATAAAATGAATCGATATGACTGGTGCTATATAAATAAACTGAATTGAATTAAAAATCCAAAGCTTCAATATAGAATTGTTCTAGATTTTTCATTTAGTTTAGCAAATATTATAGATTTAGAATGGATATAGTTTTTGATGGCAAATACTGCCATCAGCAGATTAACTGAAGTTTGTTCTGTGTTTGTTTTTGGAGGGGGGGAATCGAGGAGCAAAACACTGAATAAAATATTGGTCTAAAATCAACAAAAGATCATATGTTGTGAAAGATAAAAGATAAGGGGGGATTGTTGCGGTTTCCTGCTGTTTTCCAAGGCCGAGTCCTGTGATCCCACTTTGAAAGAGACACCTCCAGCTGGCCAGCCGTCAGTTATCTGCTGGGATTAGGCTGGCCCTTCATCTTCTCCCTCCTGGTGCAGGAGGTTGCTTGCACCCTAATCCCAGATTACAGTAGACTACTGCGCATGTAATGAATCAGTGAGTGTACTGGTGCTGCCTTCCCACACGGCCTCTCCTTTCTAAAGAAAATGCCTCAGAGGAATCATGCTCAGATGTACCTACATAAATATTCCATTCTTCTATTCACAATTAAGCAAACAGAATTCCATGCAGTCATGCTAAACATCTATAACTGCAGTCCATCCAGAGTTTGGCCTGGATTATGTGTCTCGAATTATTAGCTTTGGTGTGTATCTCTAAAGCGTAAAAGAGAGTGTAGTGGCATTAAATCGGTTTGGAGGTTATGTTTAAATTTTGCAAACCGGTCACATTTATCAAACATGCAGAAAATAGCTCAAGGAAATGTATAATAACAGGTATTTTTTGTAATAGTACTGAATTATATTAGAGAAACATTAAAGTGTATTTAGTAAGTCAAATGATATTAATAGAGGGTGACGCTCCTTTAGCTTTAGCGTCTTGATCATCAAGATCTATGTTATTTCTTAACATAAACGTACTAAATTTCCAATTTCCAATAAGGGAAATATTCTATTAGGATTTCAATTCAAAAAATGTCACACAGATATAAATTCAACAGAGTTAAAGGCTGAAATGAAAACACGCAGAACCAAAGTCAATGCTTCTCCTTGGGAGAGCATGTCTCTGTGAGTGTCTGCACATGTCTAATCTCTACCTGAGCCTGCTGTTCATTGCCCAGACGTTCAGGGTCAGAAAACATGCAAAGCTCCAGCGACTTAGCGTGAGCTGGGAAAGTGGATTCTGCTGAGCAGGTTGCAGAGGAGCAACAGGAGGGCAGGGAGAACAATAGAAACCTGCTCCACATATCAAAGGACGGGCAATGACTAAAATCTGCATGAAGCTGGAAGCTGAATCACATGCTTGAAAAAAAAGAACCTGCATAGAGGGCCTTCATTTCTTAGGATTAGCTTCTCACCTGTTTGTTATCACAATAGGAGGACAGTTGACAGCGGCTCCTTAATCCTATACAGGGCTGCTCTGGGCAACATGAGGGCAAGCAGCAGACAGGAACTATCTTCCATGTTGATCAACAGGGGGATTTTTGTGTGTGAATGAGCCAAAGAACCATGAAGATGCAACACTTGGAGCTTCCAATGAGGGTAAGTGAGTTGAATTTATACTCATAATAACCGTTGGGCAGAGTTCACTAAAATCACTTTCTATCAAAGAGGTTTACAGGATAGGTTTCTTACCTTAAAGCTGTTAATTCTGCTGTGGGCCATGATGGCAGTGAACCGTTTCTCCCCTAAAAGAAAACTTTTGCAGATATCTGATTGTAAAGAGTTGTATTAGGTGCATCAACAAAAAATTGATATGCTGTTTCTAGGTTATGCATATGCATATTTACATATTTTTTACATACATATATTTACATCTTTAATATTCCATACGATAGGCAGAAAAATTATTTTAAAAAAAAAGAAAATGAGTGGAAATCATGCATATTTAGCATAAAAAAACACAATTGGAACATCTGGAATTTAGTTCAAACTTAAATGCTCGTCTTTTGTTATTAAAGTGAACTCAAATATTAATTATATTTATTTTGATCCAATGAGAAACGTCTCTTTAGTTGAAGTCCAGATATTTTTAGTTTACCTTCAGAGCAGAAGATCCGTCACAGCCTCAGGGGTTGTGGTGAATGAAACAGCATCTGAGAGGTAAACCGCTTACTGGTCCCTCTTGGGGGAAACACTTGACATTGTTGTGATGGTTACGTTTAGAAAGAAAAAAAATTCTGCCTACTCACTTTGACCTATTTCAATATAATTTAGTTGCATCATCACCTAAATACCTGACGTTGTCTGTAAGGTTGTAGAGAGGTTACAAGTTTAAGCTTAATCTACGTCAAGGATTAAGGACAAAATGTTGGAAACATACTGTAAAACAGTTACATCACATAGTAATTAACTAATTAAGAATTTAATTGCAGATGTTACAGTTATTACATTCATGCTGATTTTTGCATAGTTTCTGCCTTGGTCATTTAAAAGAAATACTGCTGTCATTTTTGCACACCCTAAAAATTTCCACAACTGTAGACTGATTATTTATTTTCCAGTTGCAGAGTATTTATATTGTAAAAACACTGTACCGTGTAGCATTTTATTTGTTTATTTTAGTAACTCTGTCACTTATCCTGTTATTTTTATACACTTTTTTTAAGGGCCACATTTGTGTGACCACATTTGCTATGATATTTTCCTGCTGTAACACCACAATTTCCCCATTGTGGGTCAATACAAGGATTTTTGATATTTGCTATTCTATTTTTCAGATAGTAAGTGTTGCTTTTGAAATTAATTTTGAAAAGTTTATTTATTTATTTTTCTTGTTTAAATATCTATAAGGTTGCCAATTCTGTGAAAATTAAATAAGGGGCACCTTTTGACCAGTCATTGTCTTCCACCTTACTGACTTTATGAATTTATTTGCTTTTTATGGTGTGTTATTTAATTTTGTAAACATTTTAATCCAATGTTAATTAAGTTAGATGTTCATATTTTTTTAAATGGGACATTTCCTTTTTTTTTCTTAGTTTGTTTGGCAGAAAACACCATAATTACCGTTTAAATATGCAAATTTCCTTGGGTGTAATGTCTAAGTCAAACCACAGGGAGGAGCTGTTGACTCATTTTCAGAACCAGGTTTTAGTTCCAGCTACCCTGAGCGCCGATGTACATGTGCGCGCTCACGACGTGTCTGTGAGGACAGTTTATCAAACATTTCATCGTTTCTTTGTGGATATTTGCGTGCACGAGACAACGAAGGTAATAAAATAAAGACGCATAAGGGGATATTTTAAGAAAAGGCGTGTTCTATGTTTCTATTTTCTATGTCTGGATAAAATTATTGAGAAAATTAGAAAAATAAGTTGAGACGTCAAATTTGCTCGAAGGACGAACGGTGGAAAAATTTATTTAGTAAGACGCTCGTCTTAAAGGTATGATATTTGATTTAAAAAAAAAAAAAAAGAAAAACGACTACAATAAAACAACAAAAAGAAAAAAAAATCCAAATATTTTAAGAGAAAGAATCCGGTCAGTTAATTAGCGGATTAAATGCGCACCTGTTCGGGATGGGGTGTCAGAGAACTTGCCAGGTTTGAGAAAACAAAAATGAATTCAATTTAACCTTTTTATTTTCTCTGTTTGTATCTCCTGCTTTTTTTTTTCTTCTCATCTCGGGTATGTATTTTTCAAACCTAACTTGGTCCTATCCAGGAAGCATTGCTGCTTAAAAAAGCAACAAAGAAAATAAAACAAACAAACAAACAAAACGTCTAGGATCAGATATTCAATGTGAAGATAATTTGTTGTACAAGTTTGTTTTTTTCCACATGTAGGTTACAAAACAGAGAAAACCAGAATTATACCAGGCTGAAAAAAATTAGTTGAAAGAAATAAGAAAGAAATTAGTTGCCTTTGACAAACATTAAAGCAGTTGGGTTTTTAAAGTACATTAAAGCTGGGAAAGTTTATTCTGGGCTGATCATTGATATAAATTCCACCACTGAGGAGAGAAATCTAGCCAACTATAAATATTAAAAATTAATGAATATGTATTAAAATAACTTTATACATTAAAATCAGAACCACGCTGAGTCTGGTTCTTCTGGAAGTTTCCTCCTGTTAAAAGGGAGTTTTTCCTCTCCACTGCCACCACAAGCATTCTTAGTGTGAGGGCTTGCCTTAGATAGAAAACAGAATCAATTTGACTGTATGATCTGGTTGAATTGTTTTGTGTTATTAATTGGCGCTATATTAATTAAACTGAATTCAATTAAAGTGTCAGGACGTGCATTGTGCAATTTCTCACTAGCCATGTGGTTTCTGAGGGGATATAACTGGTAATTCTGTGCTGTAGCTTTATTGCAACTTTTATCAAATGAATGAAATGTCTTCTGTTTACAATATTGATTATTTCTGGAAGGATAACTTTCCTTCTATAATTGATCAATCTTCAAAATGGTTAGTCTTGTATTTTTTTCTCCAATAAGCAGGTAAGTGAGACACTTTGCCATTGGAAAAAGACAATTTACATCTAAATTAAGGAAAAAATAATTGCATTGTCTTATTTTGAATTAATATTATCTAATTGTCTTACTTTAAGGGTAAAAATCATCATTCTATTGGCAGATTATCTTATTTTCCAGCCCAAAATAAGTGTAAATACACTTATTTTAAGAAATGTTTACTTATTTTCAGAACTTTTTGCAGTGATGTTCTGCAAACATCTTTTCGCTCTGTGCTTCAGAGAAGAAACGTTGGCTTCTTTTAAATGTCAAGGCAACAAACTTTAGCATGTTTTTCATTTTAGAAACTTTAACCTGATTATTTAATTTTTGCTTTTATGTTTACCAAACTTTAAATTCTGTTATTTTAACTTGAAATGCTGTTCTTTTGTTTTAAAGTAGAGATGAATGAGAAAGGCTAACAATATAATAACAAATATTTTAACTCCTGATTAAAAAACATATATATATATGTATATACATTGTATCTTACTGGAGGGTATTTATCATTTACATTTTTACCTAACCATCTTGTTTTAGGGGAAAATTCAGTATGAGTTTTGAACATTAAAACCTTTACCGTTGCTTCAAGTTGCAAATGCTGAGCTAGCTAACCACTAGGCCACTTTATGATGATTCCAGTTTCTCACCACTGGTAACTTAAGTATAGGTCAACTTTGAAGTCTATATTGTAATTGTACAGAGCGAGTGCTGAATTGAATTTATATTGTTAGAAGCTAACATTAAAAGAAAATTGAGTCTCTGACTCAAAGGCCAACTCCAAAAGTTGTTTTTCCTGCATTTCACAGCAAAAAACATGAAAGATTTTTCCACCTTTTGAAATAAATAACTCATAGTTATAAGTACTGGCAACTCATTTGATAAAATGCAATATCGCTACTACCCTGTTTTTCTGAACCATCGACCCAATGTTTAAACTTACCTAATTTCTGATTTTTACACAATTATTGTTCAACTCAAAAAAGGATTTTTTTTCAGTCTTCTGACATTTTTTCATCCACTGCATTTTTTTCCTGTGCTGTTTTTTTGATCATTCACAAACAATCCCATGCCTACCGCTCTAACTTCTGAGGTAAAATGTGGTTATATTAACTGAATGTAGAAGTTTAAGGCATATAAATATTTTTGCAAAGCATTGTGTGCATATTATCTAGTAAGCAGCTGCTTACCCTGATGGTTATGCATTTAAAAAATAGATATTTTCTTTTTCCATCCTGTCAGACCTCACTCTCTCCTCCAGTAAGGAAGTCAACGCTACCACTGGAACATGAGCAGAATGGACTGTTGCACACCACAGCCCTCACGTCGACACAACCCTGTGGACAGCATTTGCCGCAAGCTGCAAACCATTCAGTGGCGTGGTGACCGAGAGCCCAATTCGCCTTTCCAGATTCCCAAACTCTCTTCCAGCAGTTACGACAGCCCTCAGTCCGGACTCAGGCACAACCTGGAAGCCATCCTTAAAAAAGGAGCCTTCGTCAGAGACGAGGAGGAAAAGCTGAAAGCGATGGGGATGCCGAGCTCTGCAGCTTCCCACAGCAGTGGCCTTGGTTCCTACCACCCGCTCACTACTCCTGACTGCAATCGTTCAACCCCAGCTAATGTCACCTACACAATCACAAGCACTCTAGGAGAAAGACGAGGTGCTGATGGGAGTGATGTTAAACAATTTAAGGCATGGCAGAGGTATTGTTCAACACCTACGGGTCATTCTAGGGACTCCCCTTATTTTACATTCACACGCGGACCAAACTCCACACAGTCAGAGTGCAGCAGTCAGAGAGCGAGTCCTCCTCAATCCCGTACCTTCACCCCGGGTAACAGCACGCTCTCCTACAACGTCAACTTCTGCTCTGCAGATAGAACCAACTCTGCTGATTGTGAGCTGGCCTACCCTGCCCTGGTCGTGAAAAGACTTTCCATGGGAGAAGGAGGTAGGGTTGTTTTAGAATTGTGCTCATTTTTATTTTAGGTTTTTAATTTATTTTCATGGTTCAATATTTTTATTTTCCACAGTGTCTGTTGAACCTTTCAAAAATGTGTTTGCGTTAAAGAAAAAATATACTGTCACACAAAGAATTCAACTTTACTTGAACTTTTCATAAAACTGGAATGTTCGGAACAAAGCTGAACAACCAAATGTCAAACTAGAAAGGTTCTTCTTAGAGTAGGGTTGTCAAAAGTATCAATGCTCAAAAAAGTATCGATACTGAAACATTGTATCCGGATACGATACTCGTTTTTAAAAGTATCGATACAGTGCCACCACCAGTGGCACCTAAGCAGTCATTCATCTAAAGTGCAGAATAGAGGACAATGCACTTTCTGAAAACTGTGTGATTGAATAATTCTGTGCACTTTTCAGTTTCAGACTTTTTTTTGTAAGAGGTGCAGCTGCGGAGAACACTTAATTTTAATTTTATAAGTTTTTTATCAAGCTTGCTTAATATTGTGCACAGCATACAACCTCAAAATATTGTTCTTATTGTTTATTGTATTTATTTATTGTATTTTATTTATTAATGAAAATATTTCTGTAGAGTTTTGGAGTCTTTGTTTTTATCCTTGTTGTATCAAAAATGGTATCGAGTATCGAATATTTTCCTTAGTATCGGTATCGAGTTGAAAAGTTTAGTATCATGACAACCCTATCTTAGAGGCAACAGAGCAACAATTTTTATTCCTTTCAGGAAATATTTTCAGATGATTAGATGAATTTAACTGCATGTTTATACTGGAATAAAGTTATAGTGACTCAGCTATCAAGATAATGATTTGTAAATGCTTTTTATGCCCCACTCGACGTAACCAATCCAATCGCACTTTATTCATATAGCACTTAAAAAACCAACAGAGCCAAAGTGCTGCACAAAAGCTCAAAAATATTACATGCACTACAAATTAATTGGAATAATTTGAAGGGAAAAAAAGTAAAAACACTATAGAAAATAAGAAAAAGCATAAAATCAAACAGCAGCAAGTATATTAAACACCTAAGAGAAAAGATGAGACTTTAAATTCGACATAAAAATGGTCAAAGTGGACCGGCTATGGAGAAGACCCAGTCCCCTCTGAGCGTTTGCCTCATTCTAGGTACTGACTCATCAGCTGACCTATAAGAACAAAGTATGTAGGAGATCAGAGATGACGGACAACGGAAGAGGTCAGCATCTAGTGATACTTGGGTATACAAACCTCTCCTAAAAAGGTATTTTAGTCAAATGTCCACAAATTGTGGACATTTGACTAAGACTGTTGTAGTCTTAAGGTTCAGACGAACTATTGACTTATGCAAAAATGACTTTAACAACAAAAATAACCTTTTTTTTTGACTACAAGAAATCTAAAATATACATTAACGAAGGAAAGGAACAATTTCTGCCTCCCATTTTCTTTCTTCTGTGTCACCAAATTGAAGTTAGATTATTTTCATTGAGTGATAACTGCTGTGCATGTAAATAAATATAAAAACAAGGCGACGATTAGGGGCCGGGTTTGAAAACTGTAGCTTTTCACCTGTTGCTGTAAATTATTAAACTTGCGGGACTATTTTTTTTTTATTATTATTTTTTCTTTTATAAATTTGAGATGGAGACCTACGATGTGTAAATCTGCTTGAAGTATTTTTAATCTGATTTTTTTTTTTTACTTTAAAAAAAATGAAGCAAGCTCCAGCATTTAATTTAGCTAAGATTTCTGGGCCGCTCAAACTGTCTTTAAAGGATCTGCTTGCAGTTTGTATTTAGAAATAAATGTTTCTTTTTTTTTTCCTTTTTTTTGTCAAATTCAGAAGCAACTATTAGAACCTATTCATTTAATTAAACAAATAGTTTCTTTATCAACAGTTTCATTCCATTTCAACAGTTTATGTTTGGCTCCGATGCTGCTGGTTTTTACTGTGCCTGAAGGAAAATCATGTGCTTTCTGCATAATTCAGCACACTCTCTCTGCTATGTGTTGTATCCAAGCTTCCTCAGGTTCGTCGGTTAACTCGGAGAACAAAAGAAATATGGCAGAAATCAGCCTCATCTGTGAAGAGAATCTGCTCGATACCATATTTCATGCTTGTGACACCCAGCGCAGAGGTACGCCCACTCATGCTCCCAAATATACACTCATACAGTACATCTTTGCTAAGTCATGTTTCGCCCGGCACAACCAGAATACTATTAGATTAAAGTTATCTGTAGGTAATTCCTCTCAGTGCTGCACTAGGCCTACTATGTTTGCATACAGCCTTTCTTCAGTGTCTGATATAAGTGTCACACTAGCTGATTAGTGTTTCAGAAATCATTGATTTAGTGGGATTTTTATGTTTAACAATTTTCTAGTGAATGGTAGAAAGAAAAAGAAATTATTCAGTGAGAAAAAAAGACTTATGTAAGAGGAGAAAGGAGAGACCAATGCAACAGTACCTACCTTCAAGGTACACAGAAAACTATCCCTGAACCTTAAAGCTGGGTACATTGTGCTGTTTCTTCCTTAACACTGAGAAATAGCTCTGATCAGCAAAAATTAAAATAGTTCTATTCATAGTTTATCAGTATTATACATTGAAGTTCATGTCTCCAACTTGAAATAATAATAAATCCATTACCATGTTTTGTCTTTTAATATGTTTTAAAAAGATGTGATTTTTCATGACCTCATTTACTAACCAATGGCTGCCTTTAAAAAAAAAAGTCGAATTTCATTAATTTCATCGTCTCATCAACAGGAGAAATAATCAATTATAACTTTTTAAAAGTTTTTGCCATCAAGTTGATGCATAAGTAAGGTTTGATTTATTCCCTCTTAACTATTAATTCTAAAAGTTGTCTTTAACATGAAGTTTTATAATTGTATAGATTTAAAATCCAAATTAATGCAGGTGATCTGTCTGTAATTTTAGCCAGGGAGTAAACCCAGGCGGAATTTTTACCTCCTAAATATTTAGAGGTGTATAATCCTTAACCTGTAACTGTCATGAAAGTTGTTCATGTGATGTCGATATTTCTTTTAGGAAAGAAAAGGCCTAGCCTGAGGAATCCCTTATACACCAGCATCAAAATAATGTTTGTTACCTCTATGATAGCTGTTTTTTTCTTTCATCTGTAACAATACTGGGTACCAAAGCATACAGTTGTGCTTGTAAGTTTACATACCATCCCATTAACGAAAGTGATCAATTCACGACACTAATTCAAATAACATAAAACTGTGATAGATGTAAAAGTAAATACAAATGACTAAATAATTTAGTAAAATAAAGCATATATTTTTGATTCTTGTTAATAAATCTATAAAAAAAAACTGTCCCTGACAAATTAAAGTGCCTTGCTCATGAACAGGGAACCAGCAAACCTGTTGACAGGTGCAGAAGTCTGACTGATCATTTCCTGAACATTAAAAAAAACAATTGATTTCAGTGATTGCCTAAATGTGTTGCTCAACAGCAGTTTGGTTCAAGAGCTCCATCATTTTTGTTTACCTATTTTGTTTATCAATATATGTAAATATGTTTTTTTATAGATATTTAAAATCAATGCAATGATTTCTATTTTTTATTTATTATTACTTTTGTCCATTTCAAGTCTTCCGGCAGCTGGGTTTTTTTTCTGTCTTTAAAGGAATGGAATGTATATGGGCAGGAACAATGTCAATGCTGTGAAAATGAAAAGATCAGAGATGATAATTAGCTGTAAGAGACTGAAATGTTACAGATGTGTTTCCCAGCTTTCTCACACGTGATATCAGATTAACAGCCTTTGCTGAACTGCAATCATTAGACCTGAGTGTGTTGAAGCAGAGAAAAATCTAAAACATGCAGGGCAGTGTGCATGGGGACTAAGGTGGAGAAACACTAGTCTAAGATTGCTCTTCCCTAAATATGCTGATGCTTTTAGGTAAAGTGTATGTGTCTCATATCGTGGACTACCTGCGTCACACAACCAGTCGAAGCTCAGAAGACAGTGGTCTGGAGGAGCTTTGCAACATGCTGGACCCTGAACAGAAAGACGTGTCCATAGATCTGGATACCTACCACGCTGTGATGAGGGAGTGGATCGATGACTGCCGCAATAGCAGGTACTGGCAAATATTGGGTTTTAAGTTGTCTGTATCCATGTGATTGTTGGAAAGGTTCTATTTTCAACACCTTGATTGTTTCTTTTCCAGCCATATTTCTCTAGTGTTTATTATTCTCTCCGACAGGGATAGTTTGTAACTGACTCAATACTACAATGTTCCCAGATTATCTTCCTGCAAAAAAAAAAGGGCCGTGCAGAATCCCTAAACTTGGATACTTTGCTTCCATCTGCATAACCTTTGGAAACCTTGATGTCGTTCAGATGCAGCTTTATAAATGGAATTTAATGCTGCTGTATTTATTTATTTCTCTTTTTTCCTGGAAATTCCTTAATGCATTGCTTGTTCTTATTTTGAAATTGTTAATTAATAATTATTAATTCATTACCATGAAATAGTGGCATCAAACCCCTCCCTTATTCATAAATGTTTCCTCGATCGAAATCCATTAAGAAAAAAATCAAAAATGATCACAATTGCTAATGATAACAGTTTGATTGACAGCATCTGGTTGTTTCTTTCCTTTCCTTTTATATATATATATATATATATATATATATACACTTCGATATGTAAAATATGTGAAATTGTGTTAAACTGTGTTTCTCGTGGCCGTGGATGACTTCGATTATTGACCTTATTGTTTATGTGGTTTTGCAGATTAGATTATTTAGCCAAAGTATTTCACATATACTTAAACTCCTAATTGCAGTTCATTTTGGCATGCTTGAAACTGCTTACATTTTTGCAATATGATGTCTGTGTGTATTGCAGAGAAGGTACAGCAGAGAACAACAGCCAGGAAGACCTAATTAAATTCAAAGATGGTGCCTCTGGTAAATATTCAATAGCTGTTCACCTGATATGGACAAACATCATCTGGTAAAGACTTAGAGGACCCATTGGGTTAAAATGTGTTTTCTTTACAGCCAGAAGATCCATGTTGTTAAATATGACATCAGGCAGCTTAGAGGCTTTTGGTGGAGAGGCGTCTAGAATGGAATTGTAAGTCTAAGTACCATTAAAGTACCATCCTTTGACCTTTTAGTATTTTTCTACATGTCCAATTTAATGAAGGATAAAAAGTTATATTATGTATTAACATGTTTTTTTTCCATCTCAGTGAAACATCAGAGTTGGTCTATTGTGTTGCTGATCTCCAGATGAGCAACCAAAAGCTTCAGGAAGAGGTTCGAAAGCTGAAGCAGGTGGTGGAGAGCATGGAGGAGGGCAACCAGAAACTGGCAGAAGAAAATGAGGATCTACGCAATCAAGCCAGGGTGTAAGGTTCTTTTTAACGTTATCCTCAAATGCTGCTCTAGTGGCATCTTGAGGCAGAGTTCACTGACTCCACCCTGTATCGACAGTAACCAACAGCTTGCACAGAAAGAAAAGATGCTAAAAGAAGAGGTGGAGGAGATGAAGGCAACGCTGAGCTGTACAGAAGAAGGCAGAGCCCGTGCCTCCGCGCACAGCAAACATATGGTTAGTCATGGGTCATGTGACTTGAAGTGATATTTGATAGGATAGTTTGTTGGTACATCACTATCTCTTCTAAATTGCATTTTATAAATATTATGGCAAGATTTAAATTAATCAAACTTGAAACTCCCAAATATTTAGATTGACATAACTTTGAAATGCCTGAGCATGGTGTAGTAATCCAATATTTTTTATTTTTATTTTTTTTCCCAGGAGAGAGAAAATCAGAGCCTGATTACCAAGATTGCATCTCTTCAGGATGAGGTACTCATTACACCTTTGTCTATTTATTTAATGTATAACATCACCTTAAAAGGCATGATTATTGCAAATACAAATATGAATGGATATAAATATGTGTTAAAACGCCCCCCCCAATGGATTTGTAGAACTTTAAGATCACCATGGAGAATGATGAGCTTCAGAAGAAAATAAGGGAGCTGTGTGACATTAACACTGACCTTCAGGTATTTGCTCTCTGTCCAATATCTGTCTTTGTTTGCTGCATGCCTTATTCACCACCATCTATTCAGATCATTCAACCCTATTTTATGTTTGTCACAATTAGCATAAACTTTCAACTTTCATTTTTACATATTAAAATTGTCTTTGTTTTTTTTTTATTTTCCATTATTCAAGGTGCAAATTCATTCCTTTGATTCTGTCATCGGAGAAAAGGAGTCGGTTATAGTGGAGGTGAGAGGACTATGGTTTATGCCGTCATGCTTTATTTTTTACAGTAAAAATCTGTTGCAAAATAATAAGTATTGATATCTTTCAAATTGTGTTGAATTTCTACCCAAGCATCAATGTGGTGTACTTGTACATTAAAGGTCCCATATGATTCTACATTTGAAAATAAAAAGAATCTTTAATCCTCAATTTTTAAGCTTTTGTTTTTAAAAGAATTACAAAAATAAGTACCTATAATTTTCCCTTCCTCTACAGCATTTTTTTTTGTTTACCTAATATAATCCTAATAAAATAACCAATAGCAGTATGTGCATTTCAGCCTGTGTACCTTTTGCTTCCTACAGAAGAGCAAACAGCTGGATGAGCTGAAGGCAACGGTAGAGGAATACTCTGCCATCACAGAGGTCAGTGGGGTCACTTCTATCACTTTATGGTTTATATATAAATATGTAGAAACTTTTTTTTCTCCCTTTTTAAACTTTTTCTATCAAGTCAAAATAAGGAGATGATTTTCAAGTTGAAATCCATCACTAATTTACTATGTCAGTCTGAAGTGATGAAATTCACCCAGAATCATGCTTTTAGAGCATTTGTTGAATAAAGTTAGATTTTAATTGCTGATGTTAAACATTGTACTACTGTTGCTTTTAAAATATGACTTGCATCCAGTAAAGGATTCATCTGTAGCAATTTGTTGGTATAAATACACTAGTTGGTGAAAGAAAACAGCTGCTGCTTGTGATTTTAAACATTTCTTGTAGCCACAGATGCTTGCAAATAACTTATTCAATGAGTCATGGTAATTATATATCTTTTTTTTTTTTTTTTTTTTTTTTTTGGACCAGTGTCTGAGAAAAGATAAAAACAGGCTGGAGAGCCAGATGCAGATGATTCTTCCAGACCTTGCTGGGTAATTATTTTCAGAAAAAAAAATTCTTTTCTGGCACTTTTCTTTCAATTCAGTTTATTTATATAGCGCCAAATCACAACACATGTCATCTCAAGGCACTTTACAATTCAACCACATAATACAGTCAAATTGATTCAAAGTTTTCTATATAAGAAAAACCAGTTGTTTGCATTGACTCATTGTCTTGAAGGCAATCGCTCACATTAAGCATGCTGTAGTGACAGTGGTGAGGAAAAACTGCCTTTTAACAGGAAGAAAGCTCCAGCATAACTAGGCTCATTGTGAGCGGCCATCTGCTGAGGCCGACTGGGGTTCAAGGAAACAGAAGCAGAGATACAAAAAGAAACAGAGAGGCAACTGTAAAAGATGCACAGCCAGGCAGATGAGCCCCGAGTCAGCTCCCATGACAGAGGATGAAAAAGAGAACATCCAGCCAGTCACAGTAAGAGAAACAACTACACTGAAAACAGGAACAGGCCAGATAAAGCTACTATAAAAAAAAAAGCAGAGAGCATAATGTTAGAGATTGAACTAACAAATTGTACAGAGTGGTAGAATAGAGATGGAATGATGAAAAAGGGGTACCAATTGTCCTCCAGCAGTCTAAGCCTATAGCAGCATAACTATGGAGATGGCTCAGGATAACATGAGCCACTCTAACTATAAGCTTTATCAAAAAGGAAAGTTTTAAACCTACCCTTAAAAGTAGACAGGGTGTCTGCCTCACAGACTAAAACTGGTAGTTGGTTCCACAGGAGAGGAGCCTGATAACTAAAAGATCTGCCTTCCATTCTACTTTTAGAAATTCTAGGAACCACTAATAAAACTGCAGATCTTAAAAAGAAAATAGAAATGTTTTGTTTCACTGCCCTATGTCAATTATGTTTTTTGTCTCACAGGGCCAGTATGGCTTTGTCAGTGGCTTACAGATTAAACCAGAGCAGCCTAGGATCACTGCAAACGGAACTGGCTCTGGCACAGTCACCACTGGAGGTCAGCACCCCTCCACACACACTCTCACTCCCTCTTTCCTAGTTCTGATTATTTCATGCTTTATTTAACCCTTAACAACATCCTTTACAGGAGATAAACATCAGTTTCATTTACGTCATACTTACAGCTGGGATGTAATCATTATTGTTGGCCCGAAACAACTTTTGATTTCCGAAATGATGCCAATATTGCAGCTTTGAGAATTGACCAATGCTGATATTGACTCGATATTGGCATGAATCGTGCATGCTTTTATTCATTATTTTGTAGAATAGAATGTTAGGAAAGGCTTGATCAAGTGATATTAATAAACAGAGAATGGCAGTCAACAATGATAGGTGTGAGAACAACTTACCTGTGTATTATTAACCAATAGGTTACAGAAACTTTAAACAGAAGCAAAGGGTTACCATCAGAGCGCCATTTTTGGAGATTTTAGATGCCGATATCATCCAATGGTAGTTTTTTGGCTAATTTTGGACCAATTTCCGATTATTATTAACCGATTGGGACAGCCCTAATAATCATGTTCCTTTTAAGTAACCATTAAGAAAGAATTTAAAAACTTTTTGTAATTCAACCTGTTGCTCTTTATTTTTTGTTATATCAAGCAGAAATCAGGCTTCAGTTTCATATTTCTGACTTAATTCATTGTGATGTTTTATATGGAGACTTTATGATTTGGAAATGCATATTTCTCAATGTTTGCCTAAAAAACATATTGTCGACACCTTACATATTTTTTCCTTCTAAAATTGTGGAGATCTTCCAGTAAATCTTCCTTTCTTGCTTTTTCATCTCCATTTCTGCTGAGCTGTAGTCTCTCCACAGATTTATTATTATCATTTTTTTGTATTATCTGCTGTTTTCTCTGCAGTTTATAAAGATGCCCCACAATAGTGATCCACATATGTAACATGATATAAAACACTCATAATTTACATTTATGAAAATGTGAAAAAGATCGACGCTTATTTCTCTAAAACTAAACTTTCCTGAACATTTGTGTTGTTGATCCCTGAAAACACCACCAACTTATTTATTACTCTTTCTTTAAGAAGTTGGATTATAGCATAGATCCATCAATAAGGCTTAGTATTATGACTGCTTGCCCTGTAGTGTGTTGGCAGTATGATGAATAGATAATCAGTCTTTTATCAAACCTAGTCCTAATATGATGCCTTATGGGTCTAGTTTCTATAGATGGAAGAATATAGTCTATAGGTCATTAATCGAATTCTTAGCTTCTGTCCATAGTTAGTTTACAGCAGATGTTATTTCAGACCACATTTACTCTTAATTGCATTTAATTTATTCCATCCAATTTGTCGTTCTGATGAATTACAATTTAAAATGATTTAACTTGAGATTTGAATCAATCTTTGTTTGCATATGTCAATACTTTGTTTGGTGAAAATATAGCAGAGCCAAACTTTTATGCAGCAAATTGATCTAAGAATATTGCCATTTCTTCCAGGCTCCTCATGCAGCTGACTATCTGTCAACCACAATGACCTCACAGCTGGATGAGACTCTGGACAGAGAGGTGCTGCTGCTGCTGCAGGGACCGAACACTGAACACGTGGCTCTCGAGTTTAAAAGTCTCCTCAACAAGCTGGTAAACAAGTATGATTACATCTGAAAGCACTCCTCTACAGTCTGTTAAATATTGAATAAATACATTTACAAGAAGCAGATGAGGAACCACCTGACTGCCATCTAGAATCAGTGCTTGGAAATATTATCTTTAGGATTGTAACGTCATTACACCTATTTTTCTATCTTGAAAATATTTGTTTTTAATATTGCCTCTGTATCGTTTTCTAGAAGAGAGATTTCAAAGACGAAACCAGCTCCGTCTTGTCGGCAGTTCAAAACATGTTGGAGAACGGAAAGCAGCTAGATGATGGGACCCATGCTGGCCTTCAGGTCAGATCTTCTTCAGTTGCCTTAAAATCTAAACATTCCAGTTCCACCTTTATACCGTAGTGTGGCGCTGTATTGTTTGCGTAATCAGATTAATTCAATCTTCAATTAAAAAACCATTAAAGATATTTCTGATGTTGCTTTGATGTTCTGAACTTGGCTGTTTACTTTCAGACACTGAAAGCAATAAATGCAGGAATGGCAGCTGCTGGGGTCGAGTCTTAATGAGATCTAGGAAATGTTGAACAGATGCTAATGAGGTTGCCAAAACCACAAAGCATATGTTCCTAGACTAAGCAATCACTGTGTTTTCTTTCCAGCACCAAAACGCTTCATCAAATTTACTTCATATTGAAAAAAACAGCTGACTTTTTCCATTAAGGGATAGTAAATATAGTCCAGTTTTAACATTTCTGAATAGTAGACAATAACCCGTTTGAATCTTTGGCTACATCATTTGACGATTGAATCTAAGTAAAGGGGAAACAAAACACCATATTAAGCCTTTAAAAGAAACAACTTCATAATCCTGTGTTTTTATCCTACAAAAAGAGCTTACAGAAATGTGCACAGAAATAGACACATTAAAGTTTTAAACACCATATTTATTCACCAGTTATCTACTTTCTCAGTCTTGCTACCAGAACACTAAATAAGAAAACTTTATATGCAGCTAAACGGTGAAAGTTTAGATGGAAATACTTTTGCAGAAATCTTCCTGTTTTGCCTTAAAGTCTGCAGCAGGCTATTTTAATACCAAATATGAATCATAAAGTTCTGTGTTTCTAGCCTTCCTCTCCCTCGCATCATGCTGTTCGTTATCGCTGTATCTGCTCTCTCCTTCCCACACAGCATTTCTCCTCTCTAGAGATCGCACTTATATAACTGTGTAACAAGCCCCATCCAAGCAGCGCTGTTCAGTCAGTGTTGTACCATGATAACTACCCACTCCCCTCCTCCTTGCTGTTTTTTTTTTTTTTTTATCTCCTTCTGTGTTGTTGCCACACGGCATTTATTAGCCTTGTGCCGTCAAACAGTTAAAACCATGCCCAATCAGACAGAAAGCATCAGTGTACCTGAGCTGAAAGCTGTACAAGTTTCCTGCATGTTATGGTATTTCAGTATGATGGCGAAATGGACATAATCAGACTGTAGCATTCCACCCATGTCAGAGGACTGACCCTCTGCGTTTGATGCCCGTAGACGGTGCAGGCTGAGCTAGATGCCAGGAGGGCAGACTGGGCCGTCGGCTTGGACCAGCTGGCCCAGTACACAGACTCATTAGAAAAGGAGCTGATCAAAATGGCCGGTAACATGAGACGATCCCGCACTGATATTCTCCATCTTTCGGTCAGGTAAGTGCATTCTAGTCTGCACTGACTCTTTGCTTCTGAATGTAAGGCGAATTTGATGATGTTTTGGAAGAGAATGTGGGAGATTGAATAGGAGGTCAGCTTTTGGTGGGAAAAAAGGAGGCTTTACAACAAGCAAAAGATCTAATTGGTTGAATCTATTTCTTGTAGGCGGAGCTTGGATTTTCAACTTTTTTGTAAATGGCACTAAAAACTGATGGAGTATTTTGGGTCATTAACTATTAGTAACATAAATTAAAGTAAACAATTAAAATTTTATCAACTCTGCGTGAATTAATCTTTGAAATCTGACCAAGCCTATAATTGTCTCCAGGAGCTTACCTGAAAGTAATGTTTGTTTGAATTGAAGGAGGAAAAAATCCTTGCATTCGTGTTCTTGTCCAACTCTTCATGTGTTCTTATTTCTGACAAAACATCTGGCTGTCCATTAGCATCCTGTTGTTTTATGGTCCTCCTTTCTGTTTATCCATCCATCTCTTCCTTCATTTCTGTCCATACATTTAGTCTTTCCATCTATTCTTCCAGCTGCCCTCCTCCTGTCTGTTCGACCCTTGATTTAGTCGTCCTTTAGTCAATCTTCCTGACTGGTCTTCTGTCAGTGCATCTCTTGTCTATGTGAACCTCTGTTCATACACCATGTTTGCAGGAACCCTATTTAAGAACTGACCTACTGGATAAAAAATACCATTAAATCATGGTAGAGTTTTTCATCTGTTTTTGGGGAAAAAAAGATTCAGCAAAAATGATTGAGAAAAGTTTTTTTTTTTTTTTTTGCTTCTTTGTCTTGGCTGGTTGATCAGCTTAATTATCCTGAGGCAGCCCCATAAGGCTTGCTTCAATAGGTTCGAGCCATTCCTGGCTTTTACTCTGACTTTGTGTGTAAGAAAAAGAGAGAGAGTTTTGCCTTGTCCTGCAAGCATGTCTCTTTGACGGTGTATTTATGGAGACGGCCATCCCCTTCAGATGTATAAAAGGGCAAGGCCAGAGTGATATCAGAGCAGAGAGGGAGAGTGGATAGCCTGTCCAGGTAGGATTTATTGTTCGACTGAATTAGCTTCTCAGACAGTTATGGTTTAAGGATAATAAAGTCTGTAAACTGCAATATAAAAAAAAAACTCTGCCAGTGGAAGAACTGGCGCTGGTCACCCTGGGCAACGGAATGGGACACTGCATGGGCCTGCGGATTGGGTACCGTATGTTTATGTACATATGATGGTTATACCTGCTTTGTGAATTCAACACACCTGTATTGTGATTTTAAAAAAATGAGAGGATTTTTTTTTTTTTTTTTTTTTTTTGTCACAGGGTGCAGGAACAGGAGAACCAGAAACGACAGCTATCTGAGGAACTGGAGCAGCTAAAGATATCTCAAGACAGCAGAGAGGCCTCATGCCAAACACCTGCACCAGAGGAGGAGGAGGTCTGAGTGGAGGGGAAAGGGAGATTATTGTTCAATTTATATCTATATCAGCTATAAATGCAATATGTGTGCTAATGAAGGTTTGAACCCTGCAACAATTTGTTACCTAGATGTAGAGGGACATTCATTTCAGATGAGGGTTTGGTTTATAATTCAGTTTTTGATATTTTCAAAACCTAATCATTAACAGGAGGACAGTTATTGTTTTGTTTTTAGAGAGAGCAATGATGCAGGTTGTTGTGTACTCAGACAGCTGGAGCATCTGGCAGAGAAGAGCCGAGTGTGAGTTGGCGGGTAAAGTGGACATGTGCTCCCACATGCATGCAAAAAATTAATAAGGCCTTACACCTACGCACTTTTCACAACTCTGAATGCTGTATTTATGGATGCACAACTGTAACAGCAGCACTGCTGTTCTAATAGATTGACATGCAGGGAAAAGGTTATTGCAGATCTAGTTTCAAATAATTCTATTAACCCAGTGCTGATCTTTCTTTTTCTGGGGGGGACTATTTCCTAAAAGTAATGGCTTTTGATTAAGTTTTATTTTTTTAACTTGAAAGTTTTAGATTCATCCCTATAATATATAATCCCTATATTATATAATGTTCATCCCCTGTAACGCATTCAAATTTACAACCTCTCTATACATTTAGAGGTGCATTGGTCTGATCACTGGAATAGAACAAAGGGCAATGTTTGCATCGAGTTTTAACTCCAAAAATCTGTATTTTCATCAATGGGATCTGTCCTGTTTTTTTTATATTTTCTCTTTTCTGTACAATCCTTTTTTTAGCCTGAGTTGGACTGGGATGAGGAGTTTGCACTACAGGACTTCTTGAAAAATGAACTAGCAGAGAGGAACTGCTGGGTGCAGGATGGGAAAGGAGTCTGCAGTCTGGAAGAAAAAGGAGACAAATTAACAGAGAGAGTTGATCAGGAGGATGGGGAGGAGAGGTGGACGGTGGTGGAGCAAGCTGGAGAGGGTGAAGTGAGAGATACATCAACTCCTCTTTCCACTGTCCTCAGAGACCCTCAACCTGAGCAGAGCACAGATGCAGGAAGTTCAGGTAGGCAGAGGTATCAATAACATGTTTGAATGGCCCAATACATCTCTTAAATTTAAATTAGTGGATAAACAAGTATTTGTTTAATTTTTTTTTATGGAATATCAAAGCTCTTCTAAACCCCACTGACGGCAGAGATTGACAGTGGCCTCAGTCTTGGAGAGACAATCTATACCTGTAGAAAATCTTTATCTATTAAAATCAGTCATGAACTAAAACAAAAGTGCTGGTGCTTGATAAAGAGGGCTTTAAACAGCAGTGGAAACCAATAATTCTTCTATTGTTGCTCTCTGTCCTTTATAGTCCAGGGTTTTCCAGGTTTGCTGGTTCCATATTTTAACTCTAACGTAGAAATATGTGCCGTAAATTCAAGGAATACTTTTATAATCCTTGAATATTAATTCATACGTTGAACTAAAGTTGAATGTGACAAAGTTTAGAGTTTTAAATTATACATGTCTATGATCCTTGGCACTGGTATCTGACAGGTGTATCTGCTGGAGCGCGTTTACCGGTAAATAATCCATCTTATTAAATTCAGCTTTCTCTGATTGTCTACTAATGTATCTAACCTTTCTCTTTAAGCACTCCTCATTGTGAGTGCCCTCACAATCTGACTGTAGCTTGTTTCCTTAACAGGCCTCTGCTCTATGGTATGCAATCTGTTTTTACTCGCATCATCGATTATCCTAACCTAAAGCTAGTAGAATAAGCTGTGTTGTTTGAGCCAAATAAATATATACTTATCAAGAGAGACCACTGGACAATCAAAAGTCAAACAAATAAGTCTGACTCAAAATACATGCATTCTAAGATTAGAGCTACAGTATGTTGAGTAGTTCAAAATGTTTTGTTTTGAAAAATCAGGCTAAATTTAGATTTAATATGTACTGTATTCCACATTGCTATCCATAACTAATAATTTAATAAACAGATCTCTTATGGTTTTTTTTGTTTTTGTTTTTTGTTTTTTTTTATGATGCAATAAAGAAAACTTCTTTAATATGTGGAAGCTGCTAAAATTTAGTTTAACCTATAGCTTTATTAGGATATAAAATGCATGATTTTGCTTTTCAGTCAATTTGCTATTAATTTTAAATTAACCAATAATGGGTCCCATTCTTTGATTTGTTCTTCAGCAATATTCCAGTCCTTTGATTTTTTTTTTTTTTTTTTTTTTTCATATTGTTATGAGCCTCATCATGCTGTAATCATTTTTGGGACTTAAGTGCATCAAGATATAAACCCGCCTGCATATTCTTATTTTTCTTTCACAGTAGTGCATGTGATGGCAGGTTATACTTCAGTGGTCCATAGGGTCATGGGTTCCTCATACCTTCAGAGCACTAATGCAGCACACACACTTAACAGTATATGGATGCACACATTCTGTGGCCCCTGAAATAGACCCCTTCCTTCTATGGTAGTTGTAGCTCTGATCTTCTTAACTTTGTGCGAGAGAGACAAAGTGTATGTGAGTGTATCAACACATGCCAAAATTCTTGGCTTGGCTAAAGTTCCTTCTAAGGCCAGGTGTGCGAGCGGTCTGAGTCCGTGAAGTAAGCTTGGTAATCCCCATGCCTTTGCCTGCATGAGTGGCTGGCAGGCAGAGAAACAGATAAGAGCCAATCCTTCCATAATGCAACTTTTGACATTTAACCAAACAGCCCAGTTTGACCTCTGTAATACAGCTGATTTTTTTTCCAGCTTCCTTTTACTTCTAATTGTCAATTTCTTGTTGCTTTTATGGTTACAGAAACTGAAGCCTGCCCAGAATCAGACCCTGAGATCCATCCGCAACCTTTGCAGGTGAACTATCCTTAGCAGTTAAAGGAAATGTGCAAACACGGTGTGAGAAGTAACTAATAGTAGATGAGGGTAAAGCAGGTAATGAGTTTGTGTGCAGCTTTTAAACACTGAAGTGTTTTGTTTATGATGCAAAGCCTTCCTATAATATCTTTAAAAGCAACTTTTGTGGTTTTCCGTTAAAAGAATTGATATAACTTTATTTTTTTAATGTGATTCCTTGTTTATGAAAATGTGTTTGAAACTCGACAGTAATGAGTAATGTGTCCCGTCTGGCGAAAGCTGTTTTCACACCACTTACAGGTTTTCAGTCACACTTGCACGGTTTTGCAGTTAGATGCAGTGACACTTCCTGTTAATGTGTTAAAGGTGCAATTTGCTCATATTTTGGAACCAACTGAAATGTTTAAAGACACCTAAAATAATTTGGCTTGTGATGATTGACCAAATTAAGGTGTTTTTTTTTCACAAATAGGCAGAATTTCCTGGCTAGATCATCAAAAAAGTGACTAATAAGAAGCCCTTATGCTTGTGTTTCTGTAACCAAGCATCTTATTTCCTTTAGAAAACCAAAATCAAATAAATCAGTCCACCCCCATCTAATTAGTGATCCATATTTTGTGGATATATCAATTATACCTTAAAATTGATACCTGAAACATCAAAACATGTTCATTTTCAGACACAAATGATTTTTTTTCCATGTCATGATCCTCGGTTCTATTCATGCAACGTTTTTCTTCTCCTGTCATTTGCCAACCAAATGGTTCTTCACATATCATGATTCACTGCCTCTGCACTCAGGCATCAGGCTCCATATTTGTACTAAAGCTGTCTGATTCCTAATATAGCATGGCAATGATGAAACCTTTAGATCATACAGAGTTAAAAGGGAATGATTTGAAGCTAGACCGTATCTGAACTTGGATGTTTTGCTTTCTTCTCACTTGCTCAAGCGATTTCACACCTAAGCGGTTTATAAAAGTCAAATATATTGTTCTTGCATAATTCATGCTGTCAACTGTGTGCATTGAAGGTGATGTAAAACTAGTTAAGGCCCCTGCAAGCAATCCATCACTCATGTGCAGACTCTTTGTGCTGCCTGTCAATCAGTGGGATTCTGACTTACGCAATACTTTCTCATCTGACAAAGATTTCTTCCTGCTGACTGGTTCTCTGCCAGCTGTTGGCTGCGTGTTTAACGTGTTCTGCTAGTTTCATCTTCTTCTCCTATTCCTTTTTAAAACTGTTTATCATTTTTGTTTCGACATGCATGTTTTTCAGAAGGTGGCAGCAGCACCAATGAACGCCCACTCCCAAGCTGTCAGCATAAGACACCCAGAGGCGGTCGCTCACCCTGATGTGTCCCACTCAGAAAACAACAGTAAGACTTTCTCCTCCTCTTTGTTGCTGTTTCAGTCCTCTGCTTCAAATGTCAGCTAGACTGCAGCTGTTCTGCATATGTGTTGCTAACATTTAAAGCTCAACCAAAAGGCACGAGTCATTTCCTCTCTGTCATTATGCTATTTGTTCAGAGAAGAGAAAGCTCTTTTGAATCTGGTTAAATAATCTTTTTGATGGAGGATGTCATCTTTCGAACTTAAACCACATTGATCAAAGGTGATACTTCACCATTATGATGTAGTATATAATAGATTATAGCAATTGTCAATAACTCTGGAGAAAAAAACTTTAACATTAGTTTTATTTTGAAACGGTTTTGTTAATTTTGTCCCAGCAGGTGAAGAGATGAGTGAGGTTCCAGAGTTCAGCTGCAGCCGTCCACCTCAAACACTGAGATCACCGACTGAGCAGGATGATCACATCAAGCCTATTGACACGAGCATTGGAGAAGCAGATATCGATTCTGCAAGTAGTATTTCACCTGGACCAGATAAGAGTGTTCCCAAGACTGAGAGGTGAATAGATGTCATGGAGAGGAAATTTAGTCTTCCTTGCTATTTGTGGCTTTACCACTAGAGGGGCTCAAAGTGCTTTTGTTGTTTCTTCTTAAAATGTTCTTATTAAATATACAGAGATCAGGTTTTCATCCCTAAAGCCATGTTTTCAATGTTTCCCACATTTAGTACACCTGGTTTCAATTGTTGGCTAATTAACAGGCTTTCCTAAAGCAAAGATCTTTGTTTTAGCAAAGAAACATTTAAAACACGGCGTACATTGTGCCTTAAGAAGCAAAGTAAAAAAACACTCAAAGTAGCTTTATGAATGGTGAAAGGCAGAAGGAGATTCACAGGGATATTGGTATCCGTAGTGTTGAGGTGAATGTGAAGCTAATCCCATTTTGGGGTTTGGGGGAGATTCACAAGGCTTGGGTTGTCACTGAGTTTTTTAGAGATGTGTCGAGGACATGGGATGGAACCGCCACATTCTTTGTGTTAAAAGTTATAGTAGAGGATTTCACAAGGAAGACCCGTCCTCTCCACTTTAAAAAAAAAAAAAAAATGCACATGCACACTCTGTACCCGCTTCAGAGAGGGAACGCCTATTAAACGCGTGCAAGAGCATGCACGAGCCCATTTCTCCTCATGCACGCTCTGTTTAAAAGTTTCTGTTTGCATTGCTCATACAAGCTTACTTTCCAAAAGAAGATTTGTCAGACTCACCACAGGTAAGTGAAAATAGGGACGAGCACGTAGGACGGCCTTACATAAACATATCACCAGAATGATTGGCAATTAGGAGAACCACTTATTAAGATGATCCACCCAGAAAAAGAACATCCTCCTCTATACCTTTAATACATCCATTTAAAACATGTCATTTGAAGGTGCCTTCTTCTTCTTCTTCTCATGGGCTTTAATGAGATTTCATAATTATTGTTACCTTCCTCTGCCATGAAGAAGCTTTTAAAGCAACAGTTTTCCATAACATCTTAGTCCCAGTGCCTCCTTGCCACTCTCTGCTGATAAATCAAGTTGTTCTAAAGATGCTGACCAAAGTATTGAGTTGTTGCATCCACATGTGGTTGTACTGAATACAGTTTTAATAACATTGATTTAGTCTTTAAAACCTATGAGATGTTTTATTTTCAAAAATAAAGTGAAGCTAAAGGCACCAATTACAAAGCCTTAGTGTGGAAGGTGCTCTCTGTGACCCATATATGAAACAGTTTAACCTTTTTCTAAGCCGTTGACTTGTTTATTAGTCAGGCTATCTGCTCAGAGAGCCTTTCTGCAGCTTTCTTCCTGACCAATATCCCAATCCCAGGCTGGCAGCTGGAGTTTCAAATCAGCCTTACTTTTAGGGTGTGGCTTCGTTAGCTTTTCTTCCATGACTGCTCTTTCATTAAAAACATTTGCATGGTTATTTTTTCCATCTTGTTACTGAAAAAGGGAGTTTAAACTGCAGGAAGGTATGATAGGTTTTATTAACATTATGGCTTTTAAAACTGTGGTATTTTGAAACCATTAACCAGTAATAAAACACGTTTCATAGTCGATTGCAAAATGAGCTTCTTGTTTTTCTGTACATGTATTAATCTGCTCTGCATGTTACTGTGTCATAGAGGTAACAGGATTATCAAAGTTTAAAGCAGCACTAAAGCATCTTGTTCAGTCAGGAACTGTACCTTTGGTTGAATGTGTTGCTTCTAGTATTAGACTAGCAGATTAAAAAATAATGCTTTAGTTGGTGCTGTTAAGCAAATAAAAAAAGAAGCAGCTGTTTTTTTATTTGTTTTTGTTTTTTTTAAGTATTTAATTTGCTCTGAAGCACTAAAGCACTGAAGAAGATATCGCCATGCATCTTTCTACAGCATCTTATTGATTTTCTTCTGTCAACTTGTTTGTGAATTTCAAAAGCAAGTGAAGTTGGCATTTTACAGAGTTTCATAATTTCCCTATGACTTTGGCCTTATTTGCTAGTCAAATGGGTGTTTTTCTGTGTAGGAGGAGTTACTAGTTGAATTAGTATCTCTGTGGCCATGCTTTGCATAGACAAAGTCCACCTCCAAACAGACTAAAGCTCTCTCTGTCATTCTGCTGCAGCTCTATGATCAGATCTCTATTTTGCTGTGGTCTCATTTATGTATTGAAAATCAAAAATGCATGGTGCCTGAAACTTGACCTCTGACCTTTTGTCTTTATCCTGCATCGTGTTGTCCAGTGAGGCTCACAGGCAAGAAGAGGAGAAAGAAGACGCCGTAGATGCCAGCTTGGGAGACATGAATCGGCATAAGGTCAGTAACAGAGAGGAAGTATTTTAACACACAAGGGAATTCAGTTTCCTCTCCTCTTTTCAGCACCCTCTCTGCTGCTTCCCCTTCCTCTTTTTAACACAGTCTCTTTTTAATACTGTAAAAGGATGTTGTTAGGGCAAACTGGTAAACTGAGCTCGATTTAGGGCTTAAAGTTGTCCTGAGCTTGGCCAACATATTAGTCAATATGGCCACCAGTTCTACATGACGCTCTTTCTAAAAATGGGAAATATTAATCCCTGGCTTATTAAAGAGTTTTAAGTTTTTTTGTTTACAAATCTCAACTTTAAATTTAGTTTCATACTATGCAATGTTTTTAGGAAGGACAATCAAATGATTTTTGGTCAATATAAGTAACTTTAAAAGGATAAACTAAACATAAATATGCTTTTTTCCTTGACTAACAGATAATTTTCTTCTTGAAAATGTGTGTTTAATTAAGTCTTTCATTAGTTTATCCTTTCCTAACTTCTTCTGCTTTATTAAAACTATAGCTGTGCTTTATTAAAGACACAAAAATTGGGAATTTTTGTTCTTTAACTAGGTGAAATGGTTTGGCACACATTCTGTTTCATTTTTCTATGAGTTTGTATGTGCAGCACCTTAAAATATTTTTTGGAAAATTTATGCAAAATAAAAAGGCAGCATTGGGATTTAACATACTTGAAAAGTAATTGTGTTTAAAGATTTTGTTTTGAAGCCAATAGAAACACTGATTGATGATCCATAACTGGTGGACCAACATATTTCATGAAGTAACTTGAATGAAAATATCCCAATAATAAGTAAATGCAACATTTATTTATCCATTGGATGATTCCGATATCAAACTATTCAATTCTATAAAGCACAACTTAATAATTAAATGTTTTGTTGAATAATTAATTAAAACATTTCAAATGTTTAGATGTCCTTTAAAGATCATATATTGATTGAAAAATGTGAATATTGTTTATACTTTATATTAAAAAAGAAATATAGACTGAAATAAGTCTATGTTTCTTGGAATCTTGGGGGTTGCCAGTTGACTGGGTGTGTTTTTTGTTTTTGTTTTTGTCTGGGGGGGTCTTTCTGGGGGGTGACGGGTTGAATGCTGCAAAACAAGGAAACTTAAATAAGTACATTTTTCTTAACATAGTTGCATCTTTAATCGGGCAGGTAAGTGATCCTTCGTTAATGGAATAAGACTATTTACATGCATTTAACTGCATTGTCTCATTTTAATTGAATAACATCAAATTTTCTTATTTTAAGTGCTAAAATACTAACTGCATTTTTAAATCATCTTATTTACCACCTCAGAATAAGGAAAACACAATTATTTCACAGCAAAAACCTAAACAAAATGTAAGATTTCTTAAAATAAGTGTTATGATAGACTGCTATAGGTGATTTGAGTGAGTGGTCCATCCAACAAACAGCCAGTCACTCTCTGATTATTCAGAAACAACTGTCAGATTTTACCTAATTTCACCCAAATAGTGTTTTTTTTACGCTCTAATACAGACTTCTACCTGAGATCCTTCCTGCCAGCAGTCAACACTAGTGACCTTAACTTTCTGAAGAGGCTTTGGTAATATAAGTTACAATATCCAATTCCGTTTTTGGATTTGAAATATGTTTTTTAGTTTTAATATGTGAGGTTAAATGGGGGATTAGTAGAGTACTGAGCCAACTACAGTACCAACCTCTACACTGAAAAGACTGGAGTTTTGGTTTCTAAATAGCCGTACAGGCTGGAAACTTTTGTGTAAAAAATGTATTTGTTGTTTAAATGATATATGTGGCCAAGAGCTTAAATGTTAAACTTTAGTTGAAAATAAAACTAGAGTATTGTGAAATCAAAATTAACTTCATTTAAATAAATACAAATTAATAAACTATGTCAGCATTTATTTAGGTTAAATGGGTAACTTTGCAACTGATGCATTGAATTAATTGTGCAAAATCTCTTGGTTGTTTAAGGGGATTTTTTTTACACCAGGCCTTCCTATTTTTTATGCAGCGTCATTACAGATATGTAGTCTCATTACACAAGATGGTATTACACCGATCTGTGCTCTAACCTTGCTCCATTGTGAGTACGTGTTCACGCTGTTTTCAGGCAGTCCGCCTCCACCGCTTAGTATTATGCCTGCGTCAACTTGGTACCATTTCCAGCCAGAAATACACACACTTAGAAAGCTGCAGAGCTCTCTGTGTGCATGAGTTTCACATTATATAAGAAGTCAGCCCAATCTGTTTCCACACTCTGTAAAGCTTAGATGGTGTTCCCTGCCATGGGATATGTATGCTCTGCTCATTCTTTTATTGACAGATTATGTTTGACAAGAAAAGAAAAAGCTTTTGAAACACCATCCTCGTTCTTGTTTCCATTTTTTATTGATCCTTTCAGAGCTCAAGTTGTGACCCGTCGGCAGATAAATCAGCAACCGACGACAGGTACGTGGTTTTCTGTCACTATTTCATTGGGATTCAGATGTACGGTTACTGTGTGAATTGTGTTCTTTAGCAGCACAAGTGTGTTACCTGTGCTGGTGGAGGAGGAAGAGACTGTACAGGATAGTACGGCTGATGGGCCAACGCTTTCTACCAGTGTGGCAGGTACAGTAAAAGGGACAGAAACATCTGTTAAGAGCAGGTTAATGTTGGCATTTTGCTTACACCTTCTTACATCATCTATGATCCTGCTTCACTCGTGTCCTTTAAAGGGATGGACCAGGTCACTAGCAAAGGCCCAAATACCTCTGAGAGCAGCTCTCTTCTGTCAGAACTACAGGTTGCTCAGAACAGCCAGCCAAGAGGTGGAAATGGCAGCACAGCCCCTGATGCCATCAGTTTCCAGGTAATGGATGTTATAAAATAGGCTGCGCATGATTTGTTATATAGATTTAGATTGTATAGGTATACAGTACAGCAGCTAAAAACCATAACCCTACCACCACCATGTTTAGCTGATTCTATTATCATCTTTTCCTGAAATGCTGTTTGTTTTTAAATCAGAATGTTAATGATAAACACCTTCCAAAAGAAATTCAGCTTGGTTGTAGTGTTGGTCAGTAATTTTCAAAGTGCAGAGAAAGCCACTTTAGTTCAGGTTCTTATTGTTTAGTGATGAAAATGTATCTATTTTAAAGAATATGCAGATTTTTTGTTGTTTTGGTTTGTTTTCTGTGACCATCTGATGGTAGTTTGAGTGCTTATGTAGGTCACTCTATTTCAACAACTATTTTTTTTCCCACTTTTTATTTACTGATTTCAGTGATTCTAAGCAGTCAGAACGCCTCAAATAAAGGTGACCTTTGTAGACTGATAGACAAGGATATTCTACCATGAACACAGATCTGGACATTATTCTGTCCTTTTTACTTGGATATTTTGCCACATTTCATGTCAGGCTGGATTCTAAGCCAGCTGCATTTTTGATTTTGTAGGTAAGCTAGGTCAAAGACTTGGATGTTGCACATAAATTAACCCAAATATTGCTTCGATGGCTTTTTTCCCCCTTATAATGGAAGTAATTATTTGAAAACTAACCTTGAAACCTTTAAGCATGACAAAAACAAAAGCAAACCCTGAAAATTCTGCTTAAGTCAATATATCAAATTTTCTTAATTTATCACTGTGTCGCAAAATGGCTGCAGCATGTTTAAAACATTGTGACAAATAGATGAAACCATTTGTACTTAACAGTATTTTATCTCTATGCAGGTTCAATTAATTTAAAAGGACATTTTACTGTTAGAATACTTCAAATGCTATTAGCTTGTATTAGCAATACATATTTGCATCTTCTCACATTAATGTTACATTTTCCAGTGAGTTATCAATTTTTTTTCATTAGAACCTGGTTAAACTGAGTTTTAAGGTCTTCCTCAAATGCATGTTTCAGCTTCAGAGCTAAGCAAAAGAATATTGTCCTCTTTTCTGCTTTTTGTAGTTTCTGCATCTGCTGTCTTGTTTTAGCTCTAAGTGCTTGATGGTACAACATTAGGTTGTCAGCTCTCTGTTTAGTGTTTAAAATTTATAAGAAATGCTTTATATTAGCACAAAGTGCAGACAAGGTAGTAAATGTATCTGTTTGAGAACCATATTGGAAGATATCCTGAACTGAGGAGATGACAAGTTAAGAGCAGATTGCACTGCAAAGATAAAATTCCTTCGCCCACAACAAGACTTTATGTTGATTTCCTGCAGCCTAAACATGCAGACAGGAAAAATGTGTTGTCTTTCCAGCTCTGCACCGTGTATGGGTGTGAGCCTATCAAAGAGAGGGAGGGAAAAACAGAGTTCATAGCTAGGTTTTATCTCCGGTAAGGTTAGATTCATTCTGAATAATGAAAAAAATAGTCTGCCAGTTGAGTTTTAGATTTGTCTTCAACACGTTAGGAAGACAAAGAACCAAACACACAATTTACAGTTAAATGGATAGAGAAGAGAACGTTGAAATGGAGGGACTGGAGCAGAAAGTGCACCAGGAAATGGAGAAAAAGGAGGAAGAGACAAACTATTTTATACAAACTTTGCAGAATCTGGCACACGCCATGGACGCCGTGGAGAAGAACCATGTTCAAGTTGAACCAACTGAGATCAGTCTGGGTGCTAGGAGGGAATGTAAGTGTAGAAATGAATACAGTTTCACATTCTGAAGTAAATTCTGTTAAAGTTTCACTTGGTCCTAAACATTTTGTTGGTCATCTTCTAGCGGATTCATCTGTTATCTCTGACAACGATGTCTTCAAAGACGACAGGAGCAGGTGAGATACAAGGGCATATAGAAAGTATATAAGGGGCTGCACTTTTTCCACAGTAAGTTATGTTGCAGCCTTATTTCAAATGGTATTGAAATAATCTATCTCCTCATAATTCCAGACACAGTATCCCATTATGGCTACTGGAAAATTATGGAAAGTTCACAGCATTTGCTTCACTTTGTTGAATTACAGTTTTAAGTGTTTTGTCTTTCTGCAGTTTAGTCCAAAAATATTTCATCATCTTGGATAGGAGACTTTCCTGTGCACCAATTTTTAGATCTCTCCAGATGTTTAGCCAAATTTAAGTCTTGGTCTATCACAGAGTGGCTCTGTTCCACTCCTTTGTGATCTTCTGTGATTTGGGTCATGGTCCCAGTCTGACTTCAGAGGCGCTTTGAACAGGTTACCCATACAGGATGTCTCTATACACTGCTGCATGTACCTTTCCCCCTAGCCTGACTGTTCTCAGATTCTGCTGCTGAAAAATATGCCCTGTAGCATGATAATACCCACACCGTACCTCACTGTAGGGATAGTATCATTAAAATAATGAGAATTATTATAAAGATGGTCGTACAGATAGGTTCTTTAAAAACGGGTAGGGGGATGTCTCTGAAATATTTCTGAAAGCGAGTCTGACAAGTAGAGTTAAGGAAAAATTAATGCAATGAATATCATATTTGTGCTTTTGTTCAAGGTAGGCCTGTGTAACCAAAATATGAACAACATACAAGGGCCAATAAAGTATGGAATAAAGTAACATAAATGTGGAACAAATGCAGCACTGAGTCCTTGGTCCATTTTAATGTAATCGTTTCATCAGTAGTTATTTTTCATAACTCTAATCTTTTTTTCTTCAGCTCGTCACCTACAGAAAAGGAGATTGAGGTAAGCAGAACCACAGAATATGTAAGAAATTGGCTTAGATTGGGTTATTAATAAGATTTATAAGTGCAAATCATAGCTGATGCACCGAAAAGATTTGTGGTGGTCCTTTTTTTTTTTTTTTTTTCTTCTTCCTTGTTACTGTGTCTTGTCTGGTCCTTTTTTTTTTTTTTTTTCTTTTCATCCTCAAAGTTGTATTTGGACATCTTTTATGAAAATGTTCATAGTATGATGTATAAAAATCGACTGCACCTTTTTCAGGCAGAGTTCCAGCGCCTTGCTCTGGGATTCAAGTGTGATATGTTCACTCTGGAGAAGAGGCTCCGCCTGGAGGAGAGGTCACGGGATCTTGCAGAAGAAAATGTTCGCAGGGAAGTGTCCAGCTGCCAAGGCTTGCTGCAGGTCCAAATTCAGACCTTTATTCTTTATTCTTTCAGTGCAATTGTTTGTACTGTAGACACTTTGCAGACCTTTCTCTGAATGGTTCTATGCAAGTCTCTTTTTGTTTCTAAGATAGTCATTGGTTGATGGTGTTTTTCTTTCTAACCAGTTGTTTCCAAAATCAGTCATGAAGGGCTGATGTTTTGGAAGATTTTAAGTATATTCATGCGCTAGAATGGCCCAGCTGAATCCAGACCTATATCAAATCCGATGATGTTCAGATGCTCTCCATTTTAGACCAGATAGCTTGACAGAGATTTGTTAAACAGTGAATTTAGTTGGTGTGAATAAAGAATTATTTAGAGGCAATCAGTTATTTACTATTTATATTTGACCTCCCTTTCCTTATCAGGCTCTAACTCCTTTGTGTGAAGATGACAGCCAGTCAATGGAGATCATCCAGAGGCTTCAGAAAAACCTAGAAATTCTCAACCAGTCCATGACCAGGGTGTCCAGTCGCTCTGAGATGCTTGGAGCTATACACCAGGTCAGCTGGACTCTGATTTTCTGTTCCCCTGTAGCATGAGCATCCTTTTTCTTTTGTTTTTTAAATTGGCACTGATGTTGACAAGAAGCAGACCATTGTTTTGTGAGGATTTGGACTTTAATATTTCATCTGAGTTGTGTGTTTGAACAACAGGAGAACCGCATTGGTAAAGCTGTGGAGGTAATGATCCAGCATGTGGAGAACCTGAGGAGGACGTACACGAAGGAGCACAGTGAGCTCCTTGAGCTTAGAGAGGCACTCATGCAAAGTGAGAGATCGTTTGGATCACAAACAGAAAAAGGTTTAAAGCCTTTTCACTCACATTTCTCAAGTTGTGTAAAACTGTTTTTAATATTCAATGTTCTTCAAATGACAGATGATTTTCGTGGCAAGAAGCAACCATCAAAATACACGGTTGGTTACTTACGCACCCATTAGTCATATTTGTTGTAAATTTGTTTTGATGTTTCCTAACTTTTCTCTCTTTTTGTCCTGTTTCTAAATGTATGATCTCACTGCAGAGAAGATCCAGTGTAACACCTATTCCTGGTGTTGGTGCAAGCCTGTATTCTGGCATGGTAGGAACCAGCACAGCACATATTATGCTCTCATTTCTCAACTTTATTGAATCTTTATTATCATCGAGTTACAGAAAAAGAACATGGAGAAAAATTTTAACTAAAGCTCATTCAAATTCTGTTACTGTTTCATAAAAATACTGTATGTCTGCAATACCTTCCAAAAACATATATATATATTTTTTTTTATATATATATATTAATTGTGACATTTCTTATCCCTCTTTTCAGTTGAAAATCAGTTATTGTGTCAAATTTTACTGGTGGAATACTGGTGGTAGATAAAAACAAACTATTAGCTAACATGTTTTGACTTGGACAAATTTTATCTGAAATATATTCAGGTATGTTAGCCTTTTTAGATCTACTCATTGCATCCAAAAGTAATTACACCATTAAATATGGGGTATTTTGTGCTCAATCTGCAAACGTGCATGAATCACAACAAAAAAACCATGGTGGAAAAATGTATTGACTCTGCTTTTTGAGGGAAAAATATAATGATGATCTTAAGAACATTTGATTAATACAAGATTGATTTATTTTTTTCTTTGTCAGTCAAAAGCCAATCAGGATGGCTTTGAAGGTGAAGCAGAGAGACTGACCAGGCGATCCCCATGGTAAGTAGTATGAAAAAAAAAAAAAAACTCAAGCTACATATTCGCATGAAACTGAAGAGATTGAGTCAATTTTAAGGGAAATGTTGTGACATTGCCGCCAAGTGGACCTCTAAACTGCCCAACTTTTCAGTTAATTTTTTCTTCTGTATCTTCTGTATGCTTTATGGAGGTTTTGTTATTTTCCCCAAGTCTCCAAGGCGTGCTATGACAAGGAGGGTTGTTTTTGTTATGCCACTATGTGATGACAATGGTTTTCAGGAATGTGGCATCGAAGAGCATGACACGCCCCCCGCTCAAACGGTTTGTTAGCTCTGCGGCCTGGGTTGACACTGAAGATCCCCCTGACATGACTAAGGGGTAAGGAGATGGATGTCCCCCCCTTGGCTGCCTCACCCTGGTCTTTATACAGCAGACCTTAATGCATAAAGATGGCGACTTTGGGGTTTGAAAATGCTGGAGTTAAAGAATGAACCTGTTTTGCAAAACCGGAAAAAGGTACAACGACAGCGAACCACATGGCAGCCATCTTTTATGCATGAAGTCCTTTGCATGAGGAAGTGTTTGAGAGAAGTGTGCAAATAAGCTGATTTATTGCTTTGTGTTGCCGCTGTAAAACCCATTAAGACTTGAGGTGCAATATCTATATTTATATGCACAGATACAGGTCTTAATTGGTTGATGATACAATCAATTTGAACACCACATTTTCTGAATATATTGCCTGTAAATAAACGGTGTGTAGATTGTTTTACAGCTTAATGCTCTGGTTTTCAAACATCCACTTTGCCTTACAGACATTTTATGTCCCACTGAGCTGTTTCACTTTTTGTCACTTTACAACCACAAACTTAGATTTATTAAATTTAAATGTTATCTGTTAGACCTACAAAAAATACTGCACTGTTTTCATGTGGTTGAAAATGTAACGACTATCCATCTTATCAAATGAAAGCTGTATAGCTGCAGTATCGACTGCAGTTGTGACAGCATCCTTCATTTAGTCATGTTTTCCTTCAGCTAGGACAGGAAAGCTTGAGAAAATTTACCAAATAGCACAAATATCAGGAAAAAAATATGGTATACTTTGTAAGAGACTGTGTTAGAGACTGGTTAGTTCCAACTCCAAAGAAATCTTTAACAAGAATTAAGCTTTTAACTATGGAACAAAGACTCGTACAGACTTACCAGAGTTGATGGATTTACCAGAGGTTTGAATACTAATGTGTGCCAGCAATTTAAATTGAAAGCAGTTTTTGTTTTTATCACCAATTTAAGGTCTATCATATAAAAGCAAATCAATTTATTGAGGTCTGTGGTTATAATGTGACAAAAGTAAAACAACAAAAAAATTAAAGTACATGAATATTTAATTCGCTGGCTGTAATTTGCTTGCCTTGAAATGTATTACTTTAAAAAAATTGTAAACTGTAGCCATATTTTCTTCAGAAAAGAATAATATTGCTATATTTGCTATCTTGTTGTGTATGCATGACATTTGTGCATCTGTATTATGTGTGTGATATCACCAAATATTGTCAATGTTTTTTGTTTTTTTTTGGCCTCACGTTTCTTGTGAACTGAACACTGTTTGTGACTGCATGACCACGGCTGCCCACAGGCCTTCCTGCAGCAGCACAGACTGCCATTCAGATGACGAGCCCAAGAAGGAGGAAATTGAAGAAAGGAGGTCCAGTATCAAGGAGCTGGGCAGCAAACTCACCTCCCTGATTCTGCCCCTTAAGACGTTAGTGAAACCAAAAGCCCATCAGTGACTCACTGCAGCAGCACTGTCTGCAAGCCAAACTAAAGGGCATTAATGCACGGTGAAAGAGTTTATCGCTTGGCTTGAATGAGGTTCCTGTAGTCCTGACCTGGGGTGTTATCAGAGCACACCTAACACATTTCTATTAATTTTCCTTTATTTATTAAAATAATTTTTAAAGTTCAGGTTGAACTAAAGGAACCTCCTAAGTGATGAAACTGTTTTATTATGCGGGGTAATGCTGGACCAATTTCTTTGCTTTCTGCTCTCATTGGCTTCAAACCAGGGTAACAGAAGGCTCCTATTTTTTGGGTCGTGCTTTTCCATAACTTACTTTTGATCAATTTGAAAAATGTGTAAAGAAATCTTTCTGACTTCTGCATGAAGCTCAGCTCATACTGGTTTGTGCAAAGCATCTTCTCCTTGTTCATCTTGACTAAGCTTCTGTTTTTGTTCCTAATAACTCATGCATGTGTTTAACACAATTTTGTGCAAACTTCTTTTGTTGATCACAAACTATTGTGGGGCAGCTGGCTCACTTGAAATTGAGCGAATAATGTGCTTTTTTGGTTTGTCTTCTTTCCCCTTTCTCCTTACAAATAACTAACAGGAGTCAGGATGAACTGTTTGTCATGCTGTAAGTGAAGAGCATCTAATGAGTTAATGGTTTATCCTACTTCCCAACTGAAAAGTTTTAGAGCTTTGTACAGCTTTTGCATCATGATAATCATGTAAAGGCTTACGAATCTTTAAAACTGTGCTTGACTGGTGGCTTCAAACATTAATCTAACTTAAAATTCTATTTAAGGCTAATTTTAAAGCTTATTGCCAAATGCACAATTTACCACTAATAAAACGGATGTTTTGGTGGTGTTTTTTTTTGACTCCATAACCATTTGTTTTTGGTAAATTGGCTTTTTTGCTTTACACAGCATATTTCCAGTTGATCATACAGTAACTTTTCCTTCTCTGTCCTTCAGTCCAAGTCCTTCGTCCAGCCCCACAACAACAGAACCAGGATTATCTCCCCCTCTGTCTCAAAGCCTGCCCAGTTCCAGGAGACCTTCTGCAGCGGTAGCCAAAGGAGGAGGCAGAGGGCCCTGGCTGTGGTTGGCTATTGTGGTTGTGCTAGCAGGTAAACGCATCTGCTCATACATGTATAATGTAAAAAGTGAAGGGGAATAAAATAAAAAGTTGCTCTATACAAAATAATGCAACAATACTCCTTTTTTTGTTTTCAATTGTTGGACAACAAGCAACCAAATGCATACTTACCTTCTAATTCAATTTCAGATAAGTCATGCTACAAAAAGCGTCTTGTCTATTTGGATAGAAAATAGTTAAGTTTAAGACCTGTGCATGAGTACATTTAGAAATGACTTTAACCTTCAATATAACTATAAATAATGAACATTTTACACTAAAACCACCTCTAGTTGGCACCGTTAAGCAATACCAAAGATTAAAATAAACAACAGATATAAACAGAATCAGGGTGGCCACTAATTTCTTTATACAGATAAGTTTTCAATATTAAGCTGTAGAGGTAAGGGCTTCATGCAGGCAGGAGTGTGTTGGGACACCCAGGGGAAGGTTCTGCTGCTATGCAGACACGTGTCTCCATGGTGACTGGTTTTCAATAATGTATGCTTCTACTGTCACTTAAAACTTATCTTTTTGAAATGATTGAGGTCCAATTTTTACACAAAATAAAATTTCACACTTAGGATAAAAGGAAGCTGCACACGAAAATCTAATTACAGACTTGCTGTTCCTGTACATTCTTCTGGCCTAGTAAAACCATTCAAGAACCTGGTTAGGGCAAGGTTGTGTTCTCCTTATCTGTAAAACTCCAGTTTTACTATGACTGTTAAAAGTCCTGCAAAGTTGGCAATGTTTTCTAGTCGAACAGCTGCATAAATCCATCTGAAGGAGTCACAGCTTTCTTTGAAACTGACACAACTGTAAGTGTTTTCTGTTTATCGCTTTAGCTCATCTGTTGATGCAATAGGATTTCTTACCTAAGCTTTAAAATGTTTTTTAACTTTTGAAAACTGGCATCTTTATACCAGCCGGTAAACATTTCACATTAGAATCAGGTAAACAAATGTTTTTTTTCAGGCTTGATCCCTCTGCATTTTTTCCTTCTCCTGGGTGGGTTTTGTTGTAACCCTGTATCACTAATTGTTAATTGAAAGCTTTTCTTTTATAAACAGGTCTCCTTGCACTCCTGGCCAGTCTGGTGATGCAGCCAGCAGTCGATGCAGCACCTGTGGGGACAGGAGACTCATGGATGACCATCCAGCAGCTGCTGTGGCCTTACACAGGGCTTCGGCATAACGGACAACCACCCGTCTAGATGGTCTACTGTGAGGCGGATAGTTCTGAAGCCCATCTGCCTTCTACAAAGCTACTCTTTGTAGTGCTGTGGTCAAAAAGACAGTAAGCCACTTCAGAGCAGAGGCTGATGTGATGTTTACTGGTGCCTGAATACCCCTGAATGAAGACTTGGAATAACAGCAAAGGCCAGGCTTTGCAGGGATGGCTAACCCTATAGATGATTTTATGTATCGGATCACGTTTGCTAAATTAGTCTGTTTCTGCATGTCTCCATGTTACAGGACAGGTTGGGCTGACCGCATCAACGTAAAAACCTGAAAACATATCGGTACAGGTGGAAGCAGCTGACCTCTGTCATACAGAGCTGACAAAGCACTAATAATGTTAATATAAGGAATGATGGCACAGGAATCTGATGTGTTCCACTCTGACTGCCCAACTAGAGTTATTGAACACATTTCATTTGTTTTAAACTAAGACTACAAATGCATTTAATAGGTTTTATTCAACTTACCTGGTTGACTTGGCTATATCTTTCATATGAGCTTAAGTCTACAAAAACTGGTAATAAGTTTATTCTGAATGTTTCTGAGATGTATTTATGATTGTTAGCTACAAGTGGGAAGAGATGGATCTTTTTTGCTTTTAAGCTAAACAACACTAGTTTAAATTTTAACTGGTATTGTGATTACTACAAATTTAAGAAAATTCTTTTTTCCTTTGAATACCAACCTTTTTTTTTTTTTTTTGCTTTTAACAGTTTGAACACAAAGTTTCTTGCTTTTAACTCCAATTCTGTCTGTGGTTTCCACGGTTTTCAATTTATTATTCTTTTGTATGTTTCAAAGAGGATGCATGGATCTTTGCACAAATAAAGTAGCCTATTCTGCAACAAAGTGGGTTTTCATGCATCCCAATATCAATTCAATATATTTTTAATGCATTTGCTCAATACCATGATTGACAATTAAACCTGGGGTCTTATGGAAAAAGGAAGGAGGTAATGATGCTCGGTACACCTTGTCTACAAGATGAAAATGCAAATGGTTAACCTAAAGATCTACCATTTTCGTTATTGTGGGTTTATTTTATTCTAATCTGCTCGAAAAAATAAAGGGAACACATAAACGACCCAATATAACTTCAGTTAAATCAAACTTTAGGAAGCAACTCTGGTTGATATTTTCACATGATGTTATGCAAATGGAATAGATAAGAGGAGGAATTATTGGTTATTGGCAAGACATTCTCAAAGAAGTGGTTCTGTTGGATGGGAATACAGATTATTTCGAGGGCAGATGTTTTGGTCACTTTTGAATGTTGGTGTTTTCACACTCCTGATAGCATGAGATGGACTCTGCAACCCAAAATAAGGGGCTCAGGCAGTGCAGCTCATCTAGGATGGCACACCATTAAAGCTGTGGCAAGAAGGTCGTCTGTGTCTGTCAGTGTAGTGTCCAAAGGCCGCAGGCCGTAGGAGGGAAATAACCCAGCAGGAGGACAGCTACCTCTGCCTTTGTGCAAAGAGGAACAGGATGAGCACTGCAGGAGCCCTGCAAAATGACCTCCAGCAGGCCACATATATATGTGTGCATGTATCTGCGAAAACGGTTAGAAACAGGCTCCATTAGGACGGTATGAGGTCCCATTGTCCACTAATGGGGGTTGTGCTCACAGCCCAACACCATGCTGGATGCTTTGCATTTGCCAGAGACCACCATGATTGGCTAATAATTGAATTTAATTGATCTCACGAAAGAGAAATTCACTTGTGCCTCTTGACTTATCCCCTTGGGGATCAGTGGGCTGCACTTGGGGAGCAATCGGGGGTTAAGGGTCTTGCTCAGGGACCCAGAGTGGAGGCTGTGGGGATCAAACCAGGTACTTGCAAACTTCTCAGAGCATAAGCACAGTGCTCTAACCACTAGGCCACCACCTCCATGCCAAATTTGCCACTGACTCCCTGTGTTCTTCACTCATGAAAGCAGGTTCACACAGAGCACATGTGAAGACGTGAAAAGAGTAAGGAGACACTGTGGAGAGTGATCTGCTGCCTGCAACATCCTTTAGCATGACCACTTTGGCAGTGGGTCAGTAATGGTGTGGGATGGCATTTCTTTGGAGGGTTTGCACAGCCCTTCATGTGCTCGGCAGAGGTAGCATGACCGCCATTAGGTACGGAAACGAAATCTTCAGGCCCCTTGTGAGACAATATGCTGGTACGGTTGGCCCTCCTGATGCGAGACAATACCAGACCTTATTTGGCTGGAGTGTGTCAGCAGTTCCTGCAAGATGAAGGCATGAAGCCATTCTTCGCCCGTTCCCCAGACCTGAATCCGAATAATCAGATCTGGGACATCATATCTTGGTTCACCACAGATTGTTTTAGTCCAGGTTTGGGAGGAGATCTCTCAGGGGACCATCCCCCGCCCCATCAGGAGAATGACTAGGTGTTGTACAGTTAATAGATTATACAAGCATGTGGAGGCCACACACATTACTGAACCTCGTTTTGACCCGTTTTAAGAAAATTACAAATTTGAATCAGCCTCTGGTGTGTTTTTCCACTTAAATATTGTGTGACTCCAATTCCAGGCCTCCGTTGGTTAGTACATTTGATTTCTATTGATGATTTTTGTGTGATTTTTATCAGCAAATTCAACTTCATACAGAACAAAGTATTCAAAGAGAATAATACCTTCAAATCTAGGATGTGTTATTTGGATGGTTCCCTATAATTTGAGCAGTGTATATTCTGGCCATTCAGCTGTATTGCCTTTCAAAAAAGATAAATGCCTTTTGAAAGTCTCACAAGCTGCAGGGAAATGTATCTTCATTTGGATTTTTTAAAACAGGCCAACATAAACTAGTGCATTAATGTAAAGAGGAAGAATATGGCATCATTTCCTTTAAACTTTTTTTTTTTTTTTGCACAGCCAAATTCTGTAAAGTTTGGTTTCCTTTTAAATTCAATCTCCCAAAATATATTTTAGCACCCTGTTTTAGGATTACTGCTAAACAATTGTATCATATTTGTGAAAGCATAAATGCTCCATTAATTCAGCTTACAATAAGTTAAGGGAATTGGATCTCCTGCTTTGCTCCAACCTCCAATAGATTTCCTTCCATTACTATTCACCATTTAGCTTCAATCTTCGCATTAATCCTGACCAACTTCCTCGCTCTAAAAGAGAAGCACAATGTACAATGTTTTTTTTTTCCAGCTATTTGGTGGCACTGTGCATTACAAGATGTTCAGACCCTGCTGAACTATAAAGCACTATTATGTCCTGGTCTATCACATACGATCCCAGTTAGAAAGATAACATGAGTTCTCATGTGAAAAAAATCCATGAAGGAGTTCACAAGGCACTGTTGACCAATAAAGCTTCTTCTTTTCAACACAGAACCAGCTTTTCGTAACTTCTGATTTTAATATGCTTCCCTGTTTAAAAACGAATATTTTTTTTAAATGTCAAACTTTTTGAGACATTACGAGCAGATGAATGGTCTGCAAAAGCAGAAGTTAGTACAATGAACTAGAAATGTTGCTGGTTATAAATGGCATGCAAAAGGCTGGTATACTAGTGTGCATGTTGCAGCAACATAAAAAAAAAAAACTCAAAAGATTACATACCCCTATGATTAAGTTCCCCATTCATCATTAGAAAGTAGCAAAGAGTGCAAAGAGAGTGGTTGCTGGGGTCCTAGAAGAGGTGGACATGGAGTACTTCCTTTGGGGGGGGGGGTCAATTTTAATGTTCAAATTAAAATGACAGAGTTTTGATATTGTTAAACTGACAAATATATTTGCTTCAGAAGGGGGAGTGGTTTAAGATTTATAAACTGGTAATTTGACTAATTTACCAGCAAAGGGGGAGAAATCAAATAGTTGTTTTAAATGTAAATATTTCATATGTGTCTGGTAAAACTGACACATTAAAGATCACAATGGCTCTGATATATTCACCCAACATCCTATTGGCTTTATATATTTTTTTCAACATACAAATATCCATTCTTATGAATCTTAACTTTTAGTATAAAGGCACCTACGATGACGATTCCGATCAATTTCAGATCCACCATGATTTCTAAGTGTGAGAACTTGCAAAATAGCAGGGTGTTGAACTATTTATTTTCCTCACTGTATATATGTGCATATATATATATATGTATAATATAGTTTTTTTTTTTAAAGAATAGGTTTTACCAAACTGGGACTTGATCTTGCCAGCATTCTAGACCACTTCATTTAAAAAGTGCATGGATGACCAGAAGAAAAAACAAAGCTTTAACACAAACAGTTCTGTTTTGGACAGTGAACACCAACCACATTACTGGAAAGCCCATCACCTACCTCTGGAGAGCGATAAGGAGAAGTAAGGCTTCTTTACTCAGCTGAAAGATTTGACCTCTGCCCAATAGAGAGCGTTCAGAACTATGGAAGTAGAGTGAGGTATAACTGCTGCCCTTTATCTGAGCAGAAAGGACCACAGCAGTCCATTGCACCATTAAATTATTAAACATCCTAACTATGTATAATATGATACTGATAATGTGATTGTTTCCGGAACATTAGCAAATATTTAATCTGTATTCTATTTGCATATATACAACCAAGACTAGGAAATGAAAAATGTCAAGGAACCATGAAAAAGGTTAACAATTCTAGAAGTTAGGGGGGGAAAAAAGATTAATTCAGAAGAAATGATACTAACCACAGCTGAAAGTTGGATTGCAAAGCTTTTTTTTGTGAGGCATGGCTTTGAACAAAATAATTTTGATCCATAAGAATTTGCTTCCAGAAGATGCAGCTCATTAAAGTCCTCTCATAGAAAGGATTCATTATTTATCTCTTGCTTGGATGATGAATGTATTGTCAATGACTGCCTCCTCTAGAAGTGGAAGAGAAGACTTCTGCCCGAGGTTCCCATGTCTGAAAACAAAGGTTGACGTGGATCTTCTACAGTGGGAGGTTCTGGAAGATCTCTAATCTCAGACACAAACTTTAATGAAATCTTTGGGGATTTTAAAAGACAGATACATAAAGTAGGGCCTTATTGTGACATAAGTGATGTAATTTATCTGCAAAGAGAATGTGAAAATTGTGGCAGAAATATTTTTTTTTTTTTTTTTTTTTTTTGCAGGCTCTTATTCAGATTTGGACCTGGAATTGAATTCAGTGATTCTAGCAAACCAGTATACTTTCATATAAATGAACACCTTTATAGATTTAAACAGGTTAGAGTCATCCTGCTGATTTTGAAAAGTATTGTTTACAGTTATAGGTTTTTTGACAGGATTACTTCCCTCTAAATGCCAAATAAAAGCATCCCCAAAGCATAATGCTGCCACCACTATGTTTTGATAGTCGTTTTTTGTGGGCTTTCAGAACTTTTTTTCTCCCACCTCTCGGATATCAGATACCTTGTGTTGGACTATCATACAAATTAAAAAGAAACATATTAGGTTCTTGGTTACGTAATATTACATAATTTTGGTTACATAATTATACATTTTAATACATAAAAAGAACAATATGAATTGAAAATGTTGAAAAGTTTCACTGCAAATTTAATAATGCTAGCTAAACTTATTTACTGACATTTTCAGTGACTACATGATGTAGTTGAAATAAAAAATTTTATGTTTGACTGTGAGTCATCCCTCCATTAGCTCATAAATGTTCAGTCACCCTGCTGGCCTTTTGGATATGATCAAAAATCAAGTTTTTCCACTTAAATCAAAGAATGTGCAACATCTTAATGCCAACTCAACCAATATAAATGACTAATGAGTCATTTAAAGTCTATTTGTTTAGAAGAAGCTTGTATTTTCTTATTTCATTTATGTCAAAAGCCAAGCCTTGACTATATTTGCATCCTATATTCTTTATGGTTTTTGCAGGGGGGTTTTCATCCACCAGATGGCGCAAATTATTCACCTCATTATCTACAAAAATCATTTTATTGGCCATGTGAAACCTACTGATCTCTATTAACTGGATTGTTGAAAGACCGGGAAAAAAAAATTAAGTCACCATCTTGGAAATCCCCACCCACACAAAGTCCCACCATAAATATGACTGTAATGTAATTATCATAACAATGCAATACAATACATGTATAATACATGTACATCATCGATTTAGCACTTTTGGCACATCATCAGTTAGTGTGTATTTCTGTGTGCGTGTAATATTCTTTGTATCTGACTACAGTATTATTATACTCTATTAACGCTCTATTTTTGTTGTGATGGATTTGTATAATATGTTATATTACATGATTTATAGACCTCAGACTTTTTTCCAGCTTTTATTGCCATTACACTGTCACAAGTACAGAGCAATGACATTCACTCTGCATTTAACCCATCCCCTTTGGGGAGCAGTGGGCTGCCATTGTGCAGCGCCCGGAGAGCAGCGTGGGGTTAAGGATCTTTTCTCAGGGACCCAGAGTGGCAGCAGGGGCATATTTAGGAAATGTGGGGCCCTAGGCAAAGACAGGCATGGGGCCCTTTGAATTGAGAAGACAACACATAAAACAGACCCATTATACAGATACACAAATTTTAATAGAGTAGACATACATTATTTGTTATACCTTTTGTCCCTCTCTTCTTATCCCTTTTCTTGCTTTGTTCCTCTCTCTGTTTTCTTTTGTCCCTTTTTCTTTTTCATATTGCTGTCTCAAAAGGAATCAAAGATTTACCAATCACTAAGACCATTCTAACTTAGCTGATTGCTCCTTCCTGTGTTTCCAAAAAGGCGACAGCAAAAGTAAATAACCCAGTCCTTCTTTTCACTGTAGACTAGCCATGATCTGCTTATCTATTCTCCATTTTTCATTTAAATGAAATTATAGCTGCAGGAATCATGACAGCAGACAAGATAGAGGAGAGTCGGAGGCGGGATTATGAATCCACTTGCTCTGCAGAGCAGAGTTCGGTGCTTTTATACGGTATGTTGTCGCCAAAGTCTCCAGCAACAGAAAAATGTCGCTAGAGTTGGCGCTAAGCTCTTTTTCAAAATAAAGCGCTAGAGGGGGTCTGTAAAGTCCCCAAATATAGTGACAATATTGCTAAGTATGTTTGGACCTTACTGCACATGCACAGCAAATGGACTGATCCAATGTGGGGGACACTGAAGGGGGGCCCCTGAGACACACTTAATATTATAAGCATTCTGATGGCATTTTAATGATAGGACTTTTATCAAAAACATTATTCATGTGCACAAATAAGTAATAGCTGTATTAACCATACATGTAAAAGGACATTTTATGGGGTCCCTAGGAATTTCGCAACTGCCTAGTTTTGCCTAATAGTAAATCCGCCCCTGGTTGTGATCCAACTGTTTTATTTTATTTTATATATGCTTTTTTCTTTTACTTGCTTTTATTCCGCCTTTTATTTTTATTTTATTTTATTATCGAATTCTTCTAAAGCACGTGGAATTGTCCATGTACTGAATTGGGCTATACAAATAAAATTGCCTTGCCTCACCTGAAGACTTTGAAAATGTCGAGATTTAAATAATGGAATAAAACTATTATTAGATCACACTTAAACATAATAGTGCCTTACATACAGTAGTGTGTAAACTAGCCTCATTTGTAGATTGAAATTTGAAAAAAAAAAATGCTGCATTCTGGCAATCTTCTAATCTCTTCCCTTGATACAGAACCTTCTCTGACCTGTATTAGAATGAAACAAGCTGTCCGACTGCATGTTTTTGTAGTTTTCTAAGCATTCCTGAAAGGTACATCAACTTAGTATGTAGAAAAAAGGGCAGTTTCACAAAAAGAACACAACACATTGTATATAACTATCAGCAATGCAAGACTTTTCAAAGTTTGCAAAAAAAGAAGCTTAAATGATGAATATTTTGCACAAACAGTAGGTCCAAGCCCTCCCAATTATACAGCAGAACCACACAAACTAAGGTTTCAACCGATATAAAAACAGTTTCTCAGTCTTATTGATTAATTTGTTTAATTTCTCTTCACATTAAATTACAGTTAATCTTTTTTATTCCTGCAAATAAACAATCCACATCTTTGTTTCTTGTACTTATTGGTATTCCTTTGTAAAAGACCAGAGAAAAATTATTTTATCAAGAAGCACTGTTTCTTGTGAGGTCCATCTCAAAATCGCTGAAAGCAGGATTAGAATTGCCAAATGTCATCTCTCGGTCCTTCTTCAGGTCCAGATGTCCACTTCGACTCTTGATCTAAACAGGACAGAACACAGAAGTTAAGGTTCTCATAAGAGTTTGAGTAGATTTCATCAGTGCAGCAGTACTCACTCTGCCTTTAAACATCTTAATAAAATAATAAAAGGTTGTGTCTTCCTTTTTTAATATTAGCCTTGGCTCCACTTTGAGCTTTCTTCCTCCTTGAATAACATGAACGGAGAAAAATTGAGAATCAAAAAAGCTTACTGAGCACTAAATGTTGGTCTTATTTTAATGGATTAATATATTTGCCTGTCAAGATGCTGACCACCAGTCCTACACCAATAGCTACTATAGTTCCCAGTGGACTGAAGTAAAGGTAGGACAGAGAGTAGAGGTCAGCTAGCAAAGGCCTGGGGATAGGAGAACATTTTGCACAAGTTTAAGAGATAAAGTTGGACCAATATTGCAAGTTGGACACATCAACACTTTGAAACACCTACTTGACACTGTTGTGGACTGAAACCACTGCTGTGGCGTTCTGGAAAGGCAGAGTACTGGAAGTCCAATTTAAGCCAGGAGCAACGGTGAAGTTGCAGCCATCGGTGGACAATGGTAGAGGTCGGCTCATTTCAGGTGCTGGAGGATATATCTGAGCACCAATGCCAATCCACAGAGACAACGCCAGCCCTGAGACAAGGCCTGATAAAGCTCCCTGAAAGACAGAAGAGTGGGATAGCCTTTTTAAAATGAGAGGGTTAAAACAGGGTAGAGAAACCACAAGAAAGTGAGAATTCATATAAGACGCCGTTTAAGAAAATGCTTTCGACCAACGAGTTACTAGAACTCAAAACAGCCTCGATAGACTTACTTTAGAGTTGGCAAATGGACATAGGATTCCTAGTGTGAACAAGCCAAGTAAAGGACCTCCAATTATCCCAAAAATACTGATGGTTGCCTGTTTAGAGAACAGCATGTTTGCCTGACTGAATTCTTAACAAAAAACAGGCAACATTTACGGACATATTTGTTGACATAGTTACAACAAAGTAAGCTGCTTAAGGAGATTCACACCTGCAAGATTCCTCCCATAAGTGAGGCCAACCCAGCCATCCCAATGCATAAAACCCCATAAAAAAGACCTGCAAGTGGAAACGGGAGAGCATTAGGATGTGTGCAAGAAACATTTCTGACAAAAGAGCAAAAGTTTTAAGCTAGTTAGTAATTCTACTCACTCATTCCTTTTGAGATCCAAGATAACTGCTTTTCCGAAAAGTTGCCGCACGGTCTGACAATGTCCTCCACTGTTACTGCTGCAAGGGCATTGACGCTAGAAGACACTGTGCTGAGGGTAGAAACAATCCCAAAAAAAAGTTTTCAGGACAAACTCTTAAAAAGGAGGCAGTAATACCAGCTATTAACCTCAGAGATCCACTATAAGCCGCTGCAACAAACAGTCCTGGAAGGCCAGGATAGTCTCCTAAGATGTCCATCACCAAATACGGCATCAGCTAGGAAAGAAGGAAAACTTGGTTTAATACCAAACCTTTAGTGTTGTCTGACACCTCACATATGTACACAAAGAAATTGGTGCATTTATGGATGTTTACCTGGTCAGGAGCCGAAATAAGTCCAGTGGTCCAGGGGTCACAACTTTTATAGACTGAGAAAAGACACAATCCTGCAAACACTGAGCTCAGCGAAATGGACCAAAGACCCAACAAGTTGATGTACAAGGAGCTAGAATGAAGAAAAGGGATCACATGAAAAGCTCTAACAACCTGCTACAGTGAACCCATGTATTCGGAGAATAGGACTTACAGTCTGGCATGAGTCATGGTCTTGCAGGAGATGTATCTTTGAACCTGGGCTTGGTTGATTCCATAGACACTGAGCCAAATGAATGTCCCTCCGATAGAAAGAGTCCAAAATGTGTGTCTCCTTAGTGGGTTTGGATCGAAGCTGATAAAAGGGGGAACAGATTAGCTTGGATATTCCTAAAATCTATCTGCCAAGGTTGATGAGAACATTATTCTGGAAAGTAAATGATGTTCCTTTTTAAAGCTTATTTGTGGTCTTCAGTATTATCCGTTCTGCTCTTTGGCCACCAGTTGTAAAACTGGGTGTGTATTTTTTCAGATGATACTCTTGTTTATTTGAATACTCTATTAAAGGATACAATAGTATGTTGTTAAGAGTTTCAAAGTTTAATAATTACATATATTCAATTTCCCTAAATGTATAGGGGTCTAATTCAACTCATTAAAAAAAAAATTAACAAATTTGCCTTAATGATTACCTCCTAAACATCTTCAAAGCACTACAAACGAGCAAAACATTTGCTCTGGAAAGACATGCTGTAAACCATTTTAAAGAAGACCTCCTTGTAAACCATGGACTTGGACCTACCAGTAAGCCTTTAATTTCATTGTTTGAGGGTCTGTGAGTTCAATACCATCAACCTTCCTGGTTTTAGAGCGGTTTAAGGGTCACGGCTGAATAACTCAACGTGTGGATGGGTGTTTAGGCTATCTGAGACATAATCTTGGGTTTCTACTGCCGATGATCCCGATAAGCCGCTAAGCTAAAGAGAAGACCACAAAAAATGTGTCATCAATGGGGTAATTGCCAGGTTGGTGGATGATCCTTGTGTAAAACCAGAAAATATCAACCACAAACCTGGTTAGCTGATATCTTTAAACTTTGGGTTTTATTCCCATAACATCAGCAAACCTCACATTGTACTGTACAAACACAAAGAAGAGGCTTATTTAAGGCATTTTTAGTACTTAGACTCATTTTAATATGACCTAGATACACATTTTTAGAGGTCCCCATTAAATATTTGATAAAGATAAGACCCAGCAAAAGAGTTTGGCTTTTTTAAGTTTATTACACCATAAGTTTTATTGAATTTATTGATCTCACAGTGGAGAAATTTAGCCATTATATCAGGTCAAATACTCAAAAAGAGTTGTATTTATCCAGTTGTATTTATCCATACTGTAATACATAAGTTATTACAATGCACAGCCCATCACCTTTACCTGCTGAGCAATTAATCTCCCAGCTCACAGAAAAGTAACATAATTTGATATTTTCTGACACTCACTCTGTGAGATTCAGTCTTCCTCCATGCTGTGAGTCAGAGATGATGGGGAGGACTCCACCTTGTATGACTACACAGCGGATGATGACGGCGAGGAAGCCTGCAAGCATCACACCGAGCTAGAGGGAGAAAAAAAAACCCCAAAGCTGCATAATTTTTGTTCTTGCAACTTTTCTGAGTTTAATTGAATTGCAACCACATACTTATAAAATAATCCTACCTGAATGACATCAGTCCACACAACTGCTTTTAGACCCCCCTTCAAAGTAAAAAGCACAAATAGATTTGGTTCTTAGCTGTGCTGCGACTTTGTAGCCTTTTGTTTCATATCGATTTGGATATTTCGTTACGCACCATCGTACAGTAAAATGTACAGACCACTCCAGTTGAAATGACAGCACCCCACAGATCCATACCAGTCACTGCAGTGGAGGGAGAGGGAAGCATTGAGTTTGTCTGGACAAAGCCGAGAAGGGTTAAGTGTTCTTTGAGGGATAATGACTCATAAATCTGACCACATACCTTGGTTTAAAGCAAGAGCCGGCGCATAGATGACAATCCCAGTATAGAGGATCTGTAACAAAAAAGGACAAATTCCCCAGCAGGAGTCAGATTTGTGCTCTTACCCACAGAATGAGCTGTAATTATGTGCTTACTGGCCCGATACTCACTGTCTGAACAATGAAGAGCATGGTTCCTAGCAGACGCGTCGCTCTGCTGAAACGCAGCTCCAGATACTTGATAGAAACAGACCCAAAAGGAAAGAATTATTTGACTACATGGCCCTCACATTTACCTTTCCAGGCCTGGCACAGATAATCCCTAGATTACATTTAACTCTGTGGTCTGACTGTTTTATTCTTTTTACTACCTGCTTATATCATGCTTTTATCTTTACTTACTTTTATCTTTCTTCTATTTCATGGTTTTCATGTGAAGCACTTTGAGTTGTCTTTACTGAACTATGCAATATAGTAAACTTACCTTGTCTTGCCTTGCAAGTCATGTTTGGTAAAGGCAGATTTGGTCATGTCGGCTGGATGTTGTCTGAATGTTGTGGTATTTCATTAACTAAGCTCTATAATCATGTATTTTGTTTGTTTTTTATTGCTTTTATTCTGCTTTTCTGTGGTCTAATTGCTTTATTTGTTTTACAAATGTTTTTGCTTTTATTCTGCTTTTATTTTTCGTCTATATTATTATATAATTCATGTAAAACACTTTGAATTGTCCATGTACTGAATACAAATAGCCTTGCCTTGCCTTACCTATTTGGAAATAAAATATCCAGCTGATCTAAGCTTTGATTTTGAAATATAAGAGTAAAATGTTCTTGAGTTGATGCCCTATTTGGGCTGTCAAGACGATGGGAGAGTATGAACGAATACATTGGAAGTTTTGGTTTAAGTTTACCTAGAAGTTGGTGCGTAGATATGAAAATGAGATTGTGTTCTAATACAATAAAATAAAAAACCTACAGACTTCTTATAGGGGAAAAGCCTGCTGAAGACCTGAGTAGTTTACTTGGCTTAGAAAATTAACCCACTTGACACATGGACTAACTGCATCAATTTGCGAAACCAGACTGACCTCATAGGTGCTTGTGATGCCCAGCTTGTAGAAAACTGGGAGAAAGACTTCAGAGGTGATCAGCATTGTGAATACATAAGAGACAGCATAAAATCCGATGCTGGCCCCGTAGCGATAAACCTGCACAGGATTTTTGATCTACTGTTAAAGTTGCACAGAGGATGCAGATGATTCCATTCATCCGTCTTTCTTACCTCAGCTGGGTTTGCCAAGACAGTGATGGCTGACATGAAGCTGGCAGTCAGGGACATAGCGACAGGCAGGGCGGTCAGCCTGCGACCCCCTGTCAGGAAGTCCCCCGAGCTTCTCTGGCTCCTGTCGGTCCAGGCGTAGTAGACCCCAACAGCAGCAGAAACCAGCAGCATGAGAGCAAAAACCACATAATCTGCTACAGCAAAGGAACCGACCACGGAGTTTCCTGACATTTCTGGTTGAAGAAGCCTTTTCTCTTTTTTAAATATTCTGTCTGGAAAGCAACCTAGACTCTCCCATGTGTTTAATTGTTAGAAACAGGCAGCCTTCTGTGAATAAATGGAAGTCCTGGCACATCACCTGCTCACTCAACACTGAGCTGAGGGCAGGACCACAGACCGAAACCTTTTATGTTAGTGGGTGTATGTGTTTATGTGTGTGAGGGGGAGTGAAAAAGAGTTCATGTGTTACCTTCAGGACAAGAAATATCTGTGACATTAAATGTCATTATAAAAACAAAGGTAAAATAATTATCTAAACCTTTAGACCTGGATCTTGTAGTATTTTTGTAGTTAGTTTGACCAAGAACCTGGCTATGGATATAAAGCAATTGTGCTTTTTCAGCAATTTTCTTCTAACATTGTGTAAGAAATTCCTTCTTTGTAATGTCTTATCCAATGTAACAGACCGCAGTGTACCCAGCGGCGGCTGATAAGGAACCCACCTCCAGGATTTAGATGAAAAAGGTGCTTGAGTAAACTTTGATTTCTACTGATACACTCACGGCAGGACAACAATGTTGTAGAATGTGCAAAACTTTTGTGTGATTTTTATGTGATATTCAGAATCCATTAGAGGAAAAACCCAGGTTTACAAGAAACTATTAATATACAAGAATGTAAGTGCAAATATTACTTCATATAGCTCGTGAGTAACTGAACCGTTAAAAAAAAAAAAGTGTTCTACTTGGTAAAAAAAAACAGTTCTTAATAAAAGCATTTATATTTTTCATTTTTTTTTTTTTTTCCCTGTTCACAAAAGCACGGCACATCATCTCCAAGAAACCATTCCCCACCATGAAACATGATAGCGGCTATCATGTTTCATGAAAAAAAATAAATTAAAAAAAAAAAAAAAAAAAAAAATAATAATAATAATAATAATAAAAAAAAGAAACACGATAGCGGCTGAATCATGCTGAGGGTATGCATCTCTCATTAGCATACTAAAAAAAAAACGACAATGCAAAATACAAAATGCATTCCATGCTTTTTTGTTACAAAAAACACAAAGTTTAAGAGGTGTGAATGCCTTTGAAAGGCATTCTTTTTTTGTTTTAATCTAAGAAAGTATCAGCCTTTTACTGCAATACGCTAGATGTGAAATTAAAAACAGAAGAATGCAACAAGTGGAGGGATTCAAGGAGTGACAGGATGTTTCCTTTCCTAAAATTTGAAGGAGGACATGTTTCACTGAGCATGATCAATCAGACTTAGTGGACAGCATAACTTCCTCTTGCTGGACCCAGGACATGGATAAAAAAATTAAAGATTAAAAAGAGTAAATGCTTTAGCCACACTTGTCCCAATTCAATTTAAGACCTGGATTCCTTTTCTGCAACTCTCTCTGTTAATAATTTACTAAATAAGTCTACCGGTACCTTTAAATTTTGCCATTCTGCTGCCAAACCTAGAGATGCTACTGAGAAGAAAATTCTTTTTAATGCTTTCTGATTTCAAGAGAAAAACAAGTGTTTTTTTTACACCTGTGAAAAAAGAAAATAAACATAATATAGACGACAATAAAGAAGTTTTTTACAAATACAAGATCTTTGGTTGGAAAGTGTTATTTTAATTGGGGTGGTGCAATGTTCTTGGAGTTTCTTGCAGAGATTTTTTCTCAACATTCTCTACTTTTTAACATGTAAACTATTTTAACATCTAAATAAAACACTGTAATTAAAAAAAAACACTGCCTCCAAATGAATTTTTAATAACCTTACAGACTTAGTTATCCAAAATTACAAAGCCCAAGCAAAAAGTACTTGTCCCTCATGTTAGCTGTTATCAGACACTATTTTACTTTAGCAACCTGTCTGACAAAATAAAATATGCTATAAAACTGTAAGATATCATTTCCTTGTCATTGTTTGCCATTTTCAATCTATCAGTTTTGGAAATGCTTTGGCAAATCAGTTTCTAACACTTTGTGACTCAAGCAAACCGCAGTAAGAGTCATCATCCACAAATGAAGGAAACAGAGGTGAAGATAAGTCCTCTTCCTCCAAGATAACTCCACCACGTCGATGATTCAACAGAGGGCTCACAAATGAACCCAGAACAACATATAAAGCACCTCTGGTCTTATTTAGCTTTGCTGAGGTCAATGTTCATGATTTAACACTAACAAAGAGACTCAGCAAAAGAGTTATGATGCAAAAAATCACCATGACCATGAAAAATAGAAAGGTATCATTCATATTTGCCAGAAAAACAATCTCTTTTTTCCCTCTCAGTTGTTATGTTAAGAGTAAACATTTTGGACGGTCACATTAGAAAAATTATACTTGAACATAGAGGTGGTAGAATAATGATCTGCAGGTTGTTTCCTCTTAGTGCTTTGGAGACTTGCTTTATTTGAGGAAGCCTAAAATATCTGAAGGGAAATGTCAGGCCATGAGTATCCAAATGTTATTCTAATTTATCCAAAATAAAATTATTTTTATTGGGACACAATAAACATCATGGTGAGAGAGCTGACTTTTAAAGGGGGGAAACTGGCTATATGTGTCTAGCAGTGATGATGGAGTGATGACATATATATTTTATGGGACCAGCCAACAACAGGTTTGCAAAACAATTTAAGAATTGGCAGCAGAAGCTCAGATTTTACTGGGTTTATAACAGAAATGTGTTGTAAGGGAGGAAATTGATTAATTATTTTTGGTGTAAACCACTTACTGTTGGCAAAATTGCTTTTTAAGGGTGCTAATATGAATATAAATAGCCTAATGATAATCTCATAGATCATACTCCAGATTTTCTTTTTCTTTTTTTCACAACTACAAGCTAGCACAGGGGTCTTCAATGTTTTCCAGTCCAAGGACCCCCAAACAGATGGAGCGGGGACCCCTAATTATATTGTGTAAAATGGTGTTATATCAAACTTGTCCCATATTCACTCTATTACATTTGGAGTAATGTAACTAAAGTAATTTCTCCCTGGGATTATTAAAGCATTTCTGATTCTGATTCCTCATGATGAGACAGGTGTTGTGAATGAAACGGTGCCCAGCTTGAAAAAGCTCCTGTGTGACGCTGAATGTGTGCATTGATGGCTGAAAGACAACTTCTGCCTCCATTAATCTGTTTACTACAGTGTGTTGAATTCATGTTAATGTGTATTTAAAGACATTTCAATTAGTGGAAGAAAATTGCACTGATTCAAGTCTAATCAACCAAAACTTTTGCGAACCCCATGCAGTACCCCCATGGAACCCCTAGGGGTCGCGGACCCACTTTTGAAGAGCTCGGAGCGAGCATGTACTTGTTTTCCTAAAAATAAACAAAAAAAACACGTAATTTGATATAAAAATACACTTGATATAGATTATTCATAATAGATTACAAATAAAAACTCTAAGTTCTTGATAAACTAAGCTTTTAAGTAAGTGTCTTAAGCTATAAAATAAAAGAAGAGAAACGTTGGAAAGAATAAGCGAAGCCGGAAGTGATCTGAGCTTACTCTCGCGATTTTACCTCCTCGGCTTCCGCCACGAGGTTTAGCTTCTTTTTTCTTACCCACAATGCATTGTCCAGCATGGCTGCGCCCTTGTGTCGGCGTGTGTGTAAACACTTGTAGAATTTCCTGCAGCAAAAACAGAGAAACTGAGGACTTTATGACACGTTTCCATCTTCTATCGCATTTCGGTATACATTTCGTCTGTTAGCAACCTCCGAGAGAACAAAATGAAGATCAAATCCAAGTCTTCCAATCACAAATCTGAGAATACCCACAGGGTGAGAGACTGCAAACTGAATGTAGCATGATGCTAACACATCATTACTGTTGATCTGATTTAAATCTACAGATGTGGTGTATTAAATTGAATAAAAGTGGCTATTTTTATGATGTTATTTGAATCAAATAATTATATTAGTATATTATAGCATGTTAACTTTGGGTCATTATGGCTGTTTTACACCCTTCTTTGTTTTGCAGTTTCTCACATTTGCTGAAAGACTCGCCAATGTCAACATTGATGTCATCCATCGAATCGACAGGACTGGATCTTATGCTGAGGTTCGCACTCATCAGTTCCCCTCTATCTAGCTGTGAGCTCCACTGTTTGACTGAGGATTGTTTTTGTTCTCATCACAGGAGGTAGACACATACTTTTCAGAGGGGCTGACAAAATGGAGAGACCTCAACTTAACAGAACATTTCAGTGAGTATTATCATAAATACGTTCCTAAAGGCACACTCTGTGCCGAAGAAGGGAAGAGGAGGTTTTATTTTATTTATAAGATTTGATTTCTTGTTGTCGACCAACCCAGACTGAGAAGAGGAATATGATTTTCATGTGCAAATCAGGAAAACAAATATGCATAATCAACCTAAACTAATCACCCCCTCAGTGAAACACAGTGGTAGCAGCATCCTTTCATTTTTTCCAATGCATTATGAGGTTTCTCTATTAAAGCCGTACAAACACTACGATTTTTTTTCAATCGTTGCACGCAGCTGCAGCTCTGATGTGATCGACCTGCTCACACTGTACGTCTAAAAACCATGTTGTATTCAGCTCCGCAGTTAGATGGAGCTGCTCTGACTCGTTTATCCTGAAGCCTTAACAAGTAGAAGGGGAATATTAAGCTCACTAGAGTGAAACACGCTGCCTTGGCAATTAGTGCAATTTTATGCTGAAAGCCCTAAAAAGAAAAGGTGACGTCGTATTTGGACAAAGACATTGCTAAGTAAACATGGCTACTACGCTCTGTCAATTTTACAGAAAGAACTCCTTTTCACTCATTGCATCCCCACCAGGCTTCTGTGTTTTCATCTGAGAGGAAGAAGAAGAGTCCTTGTTTGCATATTCCCACTGAGCGATTTGCCCACAGCAGTCTACCCAACTCAATATTCATGATTAGGAGGCTGATCGCCTCTCATTACCCCCTGTACACTACATGATGCACTATAAGGCTGAACGTCGGCCCGATCGGAAATTTCTCGCACGACTGGAAAGTCGCCCCGAAAGGGCCAAAACAAGTGCACAGTGTACGCCTGGCTTAAGGGATCAAGAGGAATTAAAGTTTGTCTCTCCCCTGTCTTCTTAGCTACGTTTTTGAAAGAGGTGGCCAACAA